GGTAAACAAAGCTAGGTTAGCATATTAGCAGGCAAGCTGTTCATTAGATAGATCCACACTCCTACCACAACTACTACTAACGAATCTAAAACAACTAAGTTTCTCTAATATTTTGTGATTTGCATTTTATTTCGTCCAGGTAGATCCTGCCGGACAATACATGACTGGACGACCACACTGAGGCATCGTCTCAAAAAGCCCCAGCTGCTATAAGCAAGATGCCGACAACGGGGAGTAATTGACGATATACCGTGTATATATGTATATTTACGTTCATTTTGTACATTTCTAAAAATAAAGTTTAATGGAAATACTTCTCATCAAACAGTAGTAGTTTATAACGGGTAAAAATAACTTACTCTTTGTTATGACCGGCTCGTAGGCCACAACGGAAAGACAAGGAGACATACACGAGTTTACAAAACCACGGCACATTTATTGTGGTAAATGCAGAGATAGGTGGTCAGGGAAGAGGATCGCTGTGCTGCTTGGAGGGAGAGAGGGGCTGCCGTTTGACTCCGGGCAGCTGGCTAGCACCTCGGCTCCGGCCAGGTGTCCGTGATCGCGCTGATTAGCCTCTTCAGCTCCACCCCATCGTAAGACAAAGGCCCTGGGGCCGTCACACTCTTCTATAACAACAGTTAAAAATATATATATGTATATAAAATATACTGCTGTACCGATGCCATGATAAGACTGATGTTCGGCTGAGAGCAGCCGTTTAGACATGGGCGCAGCCTCTCTGGTGGTTGACTAATCAGAACAGAGTGGCCGAGCTGACCAATCGGAGCACACTAGGCTCACAGGGAGGGGGGGGCAAGAGCTCCAACGAGTCGTTTAGTGGAGAGAGTGAATACTGCTGAATACACATGCTTGACAGAGATGCTGTATGCGAAACCAATGTGAGTTTGGAAAATTGCACAGTATAAATCTATTTTAGTATACCTCAACAATGTAATTATGATCAGTGGAAATGGCCATGACATGGGCCCTTTAAGATAAAATAAAATGAACATTTAATAATCCAGGAGTTCTTTACCTTTATTAATCCAGGAGTTTAATTAGTGAGTGCAAAAAGCAAGACGAACTAGAAAATGCATTTCCTGCAGAACATGCGTGTGAATGCTGTAAACTGTGAACATTTGTTGCTGAATTTAGCTGAAAATGCAGAAAAAGCTGAATATGTTATTAGCTGAATGGTAGCTGCTTTTAGCTACAGAAACCAAGTCAGTGTGTTGCTGAACTTAGCAGAGAAATGCAGAAAAAGCTGAATATGGTATTAGTTGAATGGTCTCTGTAGCTGCTTTTAGCTACAGAAACCAGTGTGTTGCTGAACTTAGCGGAGAAATGCAGAAAAGTGAAATGATTTGAATCAAAATTGTTACAGCTCAAATGCATTGCAATGACTTTGTTGAAAACTTGAAAGTGAAATGTTAAACTGGAAGAGTAGGACAAATAGTGAAGAAGCTTAATATTTAAAAGAAAAGGTTTAAAAAAGGTATAAACAACAACATGTATAGCCTCAATGTCCTGACATAGCTGAATAATGTAATAGTTGAATGGTTTCTGCAGCTGAAAGTAGGCTGAAGGAGTTACATATTAAATGTAAGTAGCAGTGAATGCATGTGTATTAAGAAGAGAAAAGAAAGTAAAAATGCTTTGAAAAGCAGCAGAATATTTGAACTGCAAACATTTGAACTAAAACCATCACCGTCAGCAATAATGTATAAAATATGTGGAACGTGTGTCTGTCTGTCTGTCTGTCTGTGTGTGTGTGTGTGAACATATGTAGTATAGATAGTCATCCATTGTTTGTGTGTGTGTGTACCAGTCTGTCTGTGGGCGTGTCTGCTCTGATTAGATGATGTCACTCATGCCCCTTTCACACCGGCGCTTTTCCAGCTCCGGCTCGACAAGCGCCGGTTTTTCCTCTTCACACCGCAGCGGCGCCGCGTCATAGCTCCGGAATGCGGTTCACTTCCAGCTCCAAATTGTCGGTCTAGAGGCAAGAGCTTCGGAGCTAGAGGCGGCGTCGCTTACGTCTCTCTTACGTCGAGGCGTGCAGGAAACTAAACCCACCTCCCCTGAACATGGGTCGACTGAAGAGTCTCGTCATGCCTGCCTACAAGCAGTAGCGCTGAGCAAAGTGACTAGAAGGCAACCACACACTTATAAAAAAAAACACACTTTATAAAGTCAGGCAACACTAACCAGGCTTCGTGCGATTCTGTTTATTTGTACCTTACTTTGACCATCCGTTCGCTGTTATTGATCATTGTGGAGAGCAGGCAGACGTTTTGTTTGTTATTATAGCAGCTATCGGATGGAATCAATACATGGGCTGCACAGGTTGTCATGTCCGACTATCACAAGTAGAATCATAATGAAAAATACGCCGGTAAAAAGTGCCTGTAGAAAACAGCTTAGCAAGTAGTCAGTTTAGCTTCGGTTGCTATGCTAACATCACCCATGTTATACCAGAGAAACTTTCATAACAGCGTTGTGATGCCAAACAGCGTCAATTCAGACTGACACACATTCACTTAAGGGGAACTGGGGATATGTATCAGCTGCTTGTGTGACTCAGACAGTGAATACTTTAGAGCCGTGTGAGCTAACCCGGAGCTAACGGGAGAATAAACTCACGTTGAAGAGCAGCCAGCACTGCAGCGGTCGCTAAATGGCGCTGAAACACATTAATAAACAATGAACCACGGCACTCTGGAGAAAAGTATAAGGTTGGAGAAGTCGTTATTTAATTTAATCTGGCTTCGTATGATTAAAAGCAACACGATCATCGACCCGACGCAGTCCCCCCCCGTTGTTGTTGATGTTGTGAGCTCCGTTGGGGAGAAAATCAGCGATGTAAACGGTGACGTCATGACGCAGCAGCGGCAGCTGGGCGGTGTGAACAGAGCGGGAGCTGAAAAGGGAAACCGGAGCTGAACCAGAAAAGCTCTAGCTAGGAGCTAGAAAGGGAAAAGCGCTGGTGTGAAAGCCGCATCAGCTGTTCAGGGCCACAGTGGAGTTATGACATCATCACACAGGTGTTTGTGTTTGAGCTAAGGACGTTATCATAACACCTGCGCTTGAGCCCAGAGATCAAAGGTGTCCATGGTGATGTGCAGTAATCAGTGAGAGGAGAGCTTTTCCATTGTTCTGAATGAGAGATAAACCTCTTACATGTGAACATTTTGTTGAAGAACCGTAACAGATATCTACTTTTGGGTCAATAATGTGGCATTTTTTGGCACATTAACTAAAGGTGTGCAGCTGATTGGTCCAAATTGACCAATCCACGGACTTCCTCACACACACATCTGTGTGCAGGGAGCAGGCAGCTCAGCTGGTTTCTCCTCCCTGGCTGCAGGCTGATAACAGACAGTTGGGATCGCGGTTGGGACCATTGTATGATGGTTGGTCCTGCTTTTGTGTTCCGTTTTGGTGTAAAATGTACATTTCAATAAAATTATAATTATAATAATGTGAAAGCCTTTACTCTGAACATGTGTGTCCTGTAGATCCCCACATTCACCACAAACCCACATTCAGGACTGTGCATTTTAAATCATTTAACTACTCAATATTTTAACACAAAACAAAACAAATAATTGTTATTTATCAAGATCTAGCCATTTATGAAATAGCTTTCTTAATAGCTATGTTTTAGTGACGTTCAAGATCATTAAACATGACTTCAATTGTTAGTATAGCCTAACCTTAAGAAATGAATTGCACATAATAATTCCCACGGAGCTGTGAGCACTTATACATTTATGTGACGCTTTTCCACTTATTCTTCCAGTTCTCCGTTTTCCTGTGTTGAAATCGACCAGCTGTGAAGCTTTTATACGCGAGTAGTGAAAACACTTCCGCGTAGTCTGCTCTCGTGTATCCTCCCTTTCGTCTCCTCCCGCACCCCTCCTCCCTCACCCCTCCTCGACTCCTCCGTGTGCATTTCAGCTATTGGGACGTCCTTCAAAATGGCGTGTCTTGATCGATTTCCCGGTCAAGTCCCGGAGGAGGGGAAGAGAGGAGTCGAGGAGGGGTATTGGGATGAGGAAAATATTTTAGGTGGGGCTGTGGAAATGGTGATCAAACAATACTAGGGGGCATTCTTTTGAGAAAAGACCCCCTAAATGATGACTTCTGGTGATGTTAGAGGGGGGGGGAAGGACAATTTGAGGCTTAAAAATATGAGAAGACTGATCAATACCTCCATAACTTCAGTGTGGTTAGCTATGAATCTTCCAAAACTTCCAAACACCTTGTCCTGGACATAGTTTCTACAGCATAAACTGTGCTAACAAGCTGAGATTCCACAGATTCTAGAAATATAAGTATCATCACTGAGCGATCAGAACTCGCGACAGGGGAAGCAAATACAGACATCACACGACGTAGCTTTAGGTAGCAAAACACGGAGATATGCTCACCTTTTGCAGAATAACAATTCTGATCAAAAACGAGAAAAACGCAGCTGAAGGTTAATCCATTTTTGAAAAAATGATTGATGATCCATAATTCCATTTTTATGTAAAAAACGGAGTTTTCATTAGCTGCTAATGGTAGCTTCCAGAGCGTATGACAGCTTCCTGTTTTGTCTCCTTGGATACGAGTCCAAACAACTCACAGACTGCACCGGGCGCTCACGTAGGAGCCCTGTGACCATCAGATTTGACGACGCTGATTGGCTGAAATTATGTTATTATATTATAATGTTATTATAGGCGGCATAGTTTAAAGATAGCAACAGTTGGCTTCTGCTGCACTTGCTGCACTCTCGTCTGGGCGCTGTGCATAGCGCCCACACGAGAGGGAGTAATGATACACGGGCAAGGCCAGGCAGGAAACATGTGACTTATCAGTAACTTTAGACATCGTAACACAATTTTAAACAAGATTTTATTGTAGATTATGAAGAAACACACTCCTCAATGTCAGTTTCAGTGTTTTAATGACAAAGATGACGACACCCTGAAACAGAGTAATACAGCGAGGTAAGCTGACAAAGTATTACATACACGCATGTCATCATTAACACAACACAAATATATGCTACGACACCACGTATATATACACCAACAATAGTGGGAACAGTCTTACATGTGTGAGTGGATGAACGTCTCGACACGAGGCGGAGTGAATGAACAATGTTTGAACTAAAATGGCTGCTCAGTACTACCGGGTCAGAGCACGGCATATCCTGTGCGACAGCAGTGACACGCTGCCCTCTAGTGGCCGGCGATAAACTCTTCATCCCCCCCAGACCGGAAAGCTATAGGCTGGAATAGATTAACGGTCTAAATCCCGTATCCAGCTGCCGGACTCGGGCTCGTAGCGTGCCGGCGGCTTCCTCACGCGGCCCGGCCGAGTGGGCTGGGGCAGCGCCGGCGGCGACTGCGGCACCGGGAGCGGTGCGCCCAGGAAGGCACCCGTAGGAACGGCGAGGTCAGAGGACGCCTCATCAGCAAGCGCCGGTGGGGAAGCGCCCATAGCCGAGTCGCGGGGACCATCAGCCGGCCGCTGAGCAAGCCCCTGGGGCGTCGCCCAGCCCGGGCGGATAGGTGGGGGCTGATGTCCCAGGGCAGCGGGCGGCGGCGACGGCGTGGCCGACTGCTCATGGGCGCAGGGTGTGGCCGGCGTGTAGGCACGGAGGAACCGCCGGTTGCGCAGTGTCAGACGTCCCGAACCGTCAACCCTGATCCGATACTGGTCATGGTCCAGCGACTCCACCACGATCCCTGACCTGTCCCATTTGCGGGGGCTCGGGCCTTGCTGGTTCTGGAGGAATACCCTTTCGCCGAGTGCCAATGGGCGGAGCGGTCTTGAGTGAGTCCCCAGAGACTCGGTGGTACGGGACATACGGGTCCGAAGGGCGTCCTCCTTCGCCGCCCATGCCTCGCGCCATAGCGGGCGGATATGCGGGTTCGAGAACTTCTCGAGGCGGTTCACGAAGGAGAGCGAGCCACGAAGGGGGCGGCCGAAGATGATCTGCGCCGGCGAGAGGTTGCAGTCGGGGTCAGGCGTGTTCCGCAACTGCAGCATAGCACGCAGGAAGCGGTCCTGATCAAGGCTGCCCGACGGGCCGGTGTTGGACATCAGGAGGCGCTTAGCAGTCTTAACCGCAACTTCCGCCCTCCCATTCGACTGCGGAAAGCTAACGGAGGACACACGGTGTTTGACGTGCCATAAGCGGAGGAAGTCCTCAGTGTGGCTCGCCTTGAATTCCGGACCACCGTCGCTCGAGAGCTCCTCCGGTACGCCGAAGGTAGCGAAGAACGAGCGGAGGTGTTGGACCAGGCCAGCTGAGCCCGCCAGGGCAGTACCCGCCGTAGAACTCAGGACCTCTACCCAGCCCGAAAGCCGATCCCCGACAACTAGGTAGTGGCGGCCCCCATAGTCGAAGAAGTCAGCAAACACCGCCTCGAATGGCGTGGACGGGGGTGGTGACGGAAGGGGGGGTGTAGCCGCCTGTGACGGAGCATTGCGGTTGCAGTCTGCACACCCGTCCCTGGTGGCCTGAATGTCCCCGGACATCCCGGGCCAGTAAACTATGGCTCGGGCATGCTGCCCCATCGCTGAGGTCCCCTGGTGAGCGGCATGGAGATGCCGAAGGACTCTCCCACGGAGGGATGGGGGGACCACGACGCGGTCCCGATAGAGCAGGACGCCGTCCTGTGCGTAGACGGACTCACAGACCGATGACAGACTCGCCAGGGCAGGGTCGTTAACGTCAATCCCACCCTCCTGCTCGATGAGTTGGAGGAGGTGGCCGAGGCATCCGTCAGCCGCTGTCTCCCGTGCGAGGAGGGGCCAAGAGACGGCTCCGAGCTCCCGTGCGTCGTCGCGGATGGAGGCCATGAGTGCTGACTCCACGGCGTCAGGCCCGCTCGGCAGCCCCAGTGAGAGGCCGTTCGCTGAGCCCGAGGGGGAAGGATGCCTTGACGTGGCATCAGCGGCATAGTTGCTCTTGCCAGGCAGATGCACAATGTCGAAGCGCCATGGGAGGGTGCGCTGCTTGAGTCTAAACAGACGCGAGTTTGTTATCTCATCCAGCGTACGGTCACCAAAGATCTTCACCAATGGCTTATGGTCGGTGACCACGACGAGGTTGTCTGACCCCTGCGTGAAGTACCGCGTCTGTTCCAGACCCCAGGCCACAGCTAGGGCCTCTCCCTCGACGGCCGCATAGCGCTGCTCCGCAGGGGACAGGAAACGCGAACCCGCGAGGGTGATCCTCCATCCTCCTGGACAGCAGTCCGGTATGCCCGAGGCACAGTGACAATGTTGCTGGAGCAGGAAGTAGCCAATGCCACGCATGGACCAGTCAGGGCGGAGGCAGGTACGCTTCTGCATGTCGTAGATCTCCACGCCCTCGCGGATGGCCTCCATTATGGCTTGCTTGGACGTCTGGAAGGCCTCCTCCAGAACGGGGGACCATAGGAACTAGGGCTGTGCGATTATGGCAAAAATCCTAATCACGATTATTTTGGTCAATAATTGATATCACGATTATTAAAAACGATTATCCATTTACTTTGAAAACATCCATTTATTGAAACAAAAATGTGAACAGTATGTTTTTAACAGTTGATTACCCTGAACTTTAAGTATAATTCAACTGAAAAACCAAAAAAAAAAAAAAAAAAAAATGTAATTTTTTTATTTTTATATAAAAATAATAATCGTTTTATTTCGATTACGTTGTTTTCGTAATCGTTGCAAGCCAAAATCGTAATCGAGATTAAAATACGATTAATTGCACAGCCCTAATAGGAACACACAGCGCGGGCTGAGGAACGGCTTAAATGGGGCCATCGTGTCACGCAGCTGGGCGTAGTTAGCCACCTGGTTGACGAGGCCAAACCAACTCCTGATGTCCGTCGTGGAGCCTGGGGTGGGGAAGTCCCGGATGGCGTCCAAGTATTTCGGGAGCGGTTCGATGGTAGATTCCGACACCCTGAAGCCGGCGAAGTCGACGCACCTCTCCGCGAACTGAAGCTTGTCCGGGTTCAACACGATGCCCGACCGGCCGACACGCGTCAGGAAGTCGATGGTCCTCCACCAGTGTTGCTCCAGGTCGGTGTCATAGTGGATGGTGTCATCCACACAACGTTCCTTGCGTTCATAGTCCGAGAGGACGGCGTCAAACCGACGGTTGTAGCCATCCCCTGATGACAGGAAACCCTGTGGTGCCCTGGTGTAGCGCCAACGGCCGAAGGGCGTGATGAAGGTAGTGAGGTGGCGATCCGACTCACGCAGGGGGACGCTGTGGTAGCCGTTCCAGGCATCCATGACGGTCTTCCAGGTGCCCTTCGGGACGCGGCGTGCAAGGTGGAACGGGGACTCAGTGGCGAAGGTCTCACGTTGGCAGAACTTGTTGAGGGGGGAGAGGTCCACGGTCCTGCGGGGGGAACCGTCGTGCTTCCGAGTGACTACCATGCGATGGCACCACGCCACTGGCTCGCCGTATGGTACGCGTTCAATGACCCCGAGGGCTTCGTCCCGCAGGAGGTCATCGTGGACCCTCCGCTGCCAGTGTAGAGGCACTGTAGCCGCGGTGTGGCATGCCTTAGGCGTAGCTGCGGGGTCCACGTGCATCTCGATAGGTGGCCCCTCCATGCATGGTAGTGCCCGATGGGGGCAAGTATTGAATGTCGACGAGGCATATCTCCCGAGCAGCCAACTTTTCATCCGGCTGTTGTTCTCTGGCGTACAAGGGAACGGCAGAGCTGCGGGGCGCGCCGGGGGGACCGTGCGCTGAGGACATGAGCACTGGGCGTCCTGGGGGTCACCTGGCCCCACGCAGCCGCCGTTGGTTGACCTCGTCGCATTGACGGATAAGGGCTGGTCTGGCGTGTCAGCCGTGTCAGGGCCACACCCGTCCTGGGGCCCCCCTGCAATGTCGTCCGAGGGGAAGCCCACGGGCAAGAGGCCGAGGTTGAGCAACGACTCGTAGGATAGGTACATGGCCCGGACTGAGCTGCTCACGTATACCATGGAACGGCAGGATGTAACACGCCCCCCGCTGCAGGTCGTCGAGAGCCTGGCGAAGAACGCTCCCTCGATGGCTATAGGGGAGCGGTTGGCGGCCGACAGGCTGAGGCTGACGGGTCGCAAGTCGTCCCGCGCGAAACCGCAGGCCAGGAACTCCTCCAGAGACCAAAGGTCCGACTGCGCGCCAGTGTCCGCGACGGCGGATATCCGAGCTCCGTCGGCCGAGCCCCGGTTGCTGGTGCCATCCCTCAGCCCGACTGGCGAGTCCATCGAGATGGTGATCAATGCTCGGGGGTGGTCTCTCATCCTGGCTCGTCTCCATTCGCCTTTGGAGAAGATGTGGTGCTCGAGTCTGATAGGTGCAGGCTTGTTGAGACAGCCGTGCGACGTAGGGGCGCGGCGTCGGCGATGGCTCCCGTGACGTCGGCCAGTGCGGGCTCCAGCTCGCACCGACGAGACCTGGGAGACCAGCTCCGACCCCATGGCGGCATGTTGACTGTCGGATGACGGCTGTGGACGCCTCTGTCGTCGGCGGGCCCTGTAGCAGCCGATGCACACCAGGTGAGGCTTCGGATTCCACCCGCGAGGCCCCTCCGTGAAGACGTTGAAGACGCTCTTACATTCCGGGCACGAGGCACGTTTAGCCCCGGCCGCAGGGCTCGGGGCGGGGCTCGTCTGTGGAGTCGTCTGCAGGCGCCGGAATGACGACATGGCTGATAGGGAGGACGACGGGAGAGCGTTACGGGCCATCTCTTTGTTCTCGACGAGTGCAATTACATCGTTAACTGGCTTGACCAGGACATCAGATGTCCCCAGCGTCTCGCGGCGTATGTCCGAGTCATAGATGCCATTGAGCAGAACATCACGGATAATGTGGTCGGTATAGTCCACGTCTTTACCACACTCGCATACCGCATTATATGCGCATGTCTCTGCTTTACCCCGCACTCTGGCAGCGAATGCGCGGAATGTCTCGTCGCGTTCCTGGCGTAACTGGAGTAGCTCAGTGCGCAGGACGCATGTAGCGACTGGGATGACAGCTAGGGAACGCATGACGGCGATCAGATCTGGCAAGGGTCCGGAAGCGGCGTCGGGGACGGCTTTCAACAGGCTGTCTCCAAGTACAGGCCCAGCGCACTGAAACAGCTGGAATGGGGCCTGGGCATTCCCTATGCCTGAGCCGGCGCGGAATACATTCCAACGGCGGATGAACACGTTCCATTCCTCTATCGATACGCCCACATCAACTTTGGGCCGATCGAGTCTCGGGCCGTGAGGGGCTGGGGCCTGGGCTGGCGCGGCCATGACAGGCGCTGCGTGCTGGTGGCTAAATCCATGAATCGTCAATAGGGCAATGACGAGTGCTTCAGATACGTCTTCGGATTTGAACTCGCAGCCGGGGGCAGGGCATCCAACAACGACCATGGTGTCGTCATGAAGAAACACACTCCTCAATGTCAGTTTCAGTGTTTTAATGACAAAGATGACGACACCCTGAAACAGAGTAATACAGCGAGGTAAGCTGACAAAGTATTACATACACGCATGTCATCATTAACACAACACAAATATATGCTACGACACCACGTATATACACCAACAATAGTGGGAACAGTCTTACATGTGTGAGTGGATGAACGTCTCGACACGAGGCGGAGTGAATGAACAATGTTTGAACTAAAATGGCTGCTCAGTACTACCGGGTCAGAGCACGGCATATCCTGTGCGACAGCAGTGACACGCTGCCCTCTAGTGGCCGGCGATAAACTCTTCAAATTATACATTTTACTGATACCAATTATATAATATTTACCTTGTTTATTAAAAATAAAAATAAAAATAAAAAATATATTTTTTAAATATATATTTTTTTATTTTTTTTATTTTTAATGTGGGAAGAGGGGGGGCGCGCCCCTAGCGCCCCTATGGGCCGGCCGCCACTGCTAGAGAAGTATCTCCAACGAGGCGTTTTGGGGAGGTATTTTCTGTGTTGGAGTTTTACTCGCTATAGGGTGTACTTTGAGGGTTTTGACTCCGCACACCGTTTACATGCATAAAAACCTTCATAACACACAAGGGGACGGGTAATAACCGGAAAAGCATGACACCTCTCCTTTAAAAAAATAGTTTAAAAAGCTGAATATTTCAAAAAGTATGAAATATAGTGGAATGCTGTACACAGTATTCGCACTAATTAAAGAAGGAAAAAAAGGGTGCTTTATTCCTGAGATTTTTATCCTGTATAGAGTGGCGAAGTCCCTCCCCTTCCGGTGGACCTCCATGGGACCTTATTTCGGAAAAATTATGTATTGAAGTCAATGGAGAGAGAAAGATTATCTTTCGATCCCGTTTGAATTGTGCCACGAATTACACATATGATGTTTGTCAATTTAAAAGATAATTTTGCAAGTCAAAAAAAAAAAAAATGTGTCGTAAAACTGTGAAGTAACACATTTGTTTGTGTGAAACGCTCAATGAACTACTTCTCTCGTCAACAACACACGTCACCAAGATGGCCATCACTACTGTCTTGTCAACAAAACGATTGACTACCCTCACTATCACCACAATGAAACACGTCCTGAAGAATGTCATGCAAAGCTGCCTGCCTGCCTTCCTTTGATTCTCTCTGAACTGCCTGGTCGTTTTAATGTTTAATGTCAACCATTTGTGCAGATAGCATGAAGTAGAGAAGATCACTAGCGTTAGCGTTAGCATTTCTCCCCCGGGCTTAAATTGTGTATTATAGAATGATCACACCGGTGACAGTACTCTTCAAAGGGTTCACGAAATATGACTACTACTCTTACTGTTTAACATTTTGGGTTACTTAATGTTACTTCATGTTAAGGCTAATAAAAATGACAAGGCTGTAATGCTAACTAATGTGCTAGCTACTAGCTAGCTTGATCCAGACACTCCTAGTCCTTTCATCAGACGGGAAGCGAAAGAACGAGCAAGACCCATTGCTGGTATAATAACAGCCTGGTACTAAGCACACAGGCATCTTGTTAAAGTTATCTTATTTTAGCCAGCGCCATATAGATAGATTATATCTATATGGCGCTGATCTTAGCTTTCTCTTAGTGGAGGAAAACAATTGTGACATCACTCACGTGACTCTGGGATTTGTAGTCTTTGTAGTTGCATATTTTTCATAGTCTTATATTTCAACAGTTTTACGACAAACTGTGACTTTTTTGACATGGAAATGATTTTTTAAGATTGACAAACATCATATGTGTAATTCATGGCACAATTCAAACGGGATCGAAAGATACGTTTTCTCTCTCCATTGACTTCAATACATTATTTTTCCGAAATAAGGTCCCATGGGGCGGAAGTAGATGGGCGTGACTTCGCCACTCTATAGAGTGGCGAAGTCCCTCACTTACCACTCCCACTTACTTCCGGGGTATGGGACCTTATTTCGGAAAAATTATGCATTGAAGTCAATGGGGAGAGAAAACTTATCTTTCGATCCCGTTTGAATTGTGCCATGAATTACACATATGATGTTTGTCAATCTTAAAAAATCATTTCCATGTCAAAAAAGTCACAGTTTGTCGTAAAACTGTTGAAATATAAGACTATGAAAAATACGCAACTAGAAAGACTACAAATCCCAGTCGCGTAAGTGATGTCACAATTGAGACACTACGATATACGTATAATACCGTATATATACGATCAGCGCCATATAGATATAATCTATCTATATGGCGCTGGCTAAGATAAGATAACTTTAACAAGATGCCTGTGTGCTTAGTACCAGGTTGTTATTATACCAGCAATGGGTCTTGCTCGTTCTTTCGCTTCCCGTCTGATGAAAGAGGAGTGTGTGGATCAAGTTAGCTACCTAGCTAGTAGCTAGCACGTTAGTTAGCATTACAGCCTTGTCATTTGTATTAGCCTTAACATGAAGTAACATTAAGTAACCCAAAATGTTAAACAGTAAGAGTAGTAGTCATATTTCGTGAACCCTTTGAATAGTACTGTCACCGGTGTGATCATTCTATAATACACCATTTAAGCCCGGGGGAGAAATGCTAACGCTAACGTTAGCATCGGCGATCTTCTCTACTTCATGCTATCTGCACAAATGGTTGACATTAAACATTAAAACGACCAGGCAGTTCAGAGAGAATCAAAGGAAGGCAGGCAGGCAGCTTTGCATGACATTCTTCAGGACGTGTTTCATTGTGGTGATAGTGAGGGTCGTTGTGTTGACAAGACAGTAGTGACGGCCATCTTGGTGACGTCACGTGTGTTGTTGACCAGAGATGTAGTTCATTAAGCGTTTCACACAAACAAATGTGTTACTTCACAGTTTTACGACACTTTTTTTTTTTTTGACTTGCAAAATTATCTTTTAAATTGACAAACATCATATGTGTAATTCGTGGCACAATTCAAACGGGATCGAAAGATAATCTTTCTCTCTCCATTGACTTCAATGCATAACTTTTCCGAAATAAGGTCCCATGGGGCTCCACCGGAAGGGGAGGGACTTCGCCACTCTATTGTTTAAATATTTAATTTATATTTTAATTTTAATTTAACGTTCTCTCTCAATTTTTCGGAATCTGGTTTTTACGGTTATTAGAATTTAGCAGTTTAGGTGCTTTATGATCAATATCGTCAGATGCAAACTTGAGGGTAGGAAGTAGGAACGATATTTAGTGTCAGGAACCATGACGTATCAGCACGGAACGGGTAAGGCGGGCAGTTTAAACTAGCGGATGTGACGTTGTTTAGGACAATAACTCCCTTTTTAAGGTTGGCATGGCTTTCTGGTGATAAACAAAACGTACGACATGGATTTGGTCTCCTGTCGGAGCTTCTTGGGTATTTTCATAAATAATTCAAATGTTTCAACCAGTCCTTAAACGCCTGTCTAATAAATCATGCTGTTGGTTGATGCCTTCAACAACATGCTAACTAGCCAATAACAACTCCCAGGGCTAACGGAGTTGCTAACTGTTTTTAGCTTTCTGGGAAATGTCTCTTAGTACATTTTGAAGAAGATGAAGAGGAAAGTGGCTAAACTGAGACTGAGCCCTAACGAAGAGGCTCGGATAATACGAGAGGAGCATGAGAGGAGGAGGAAGCTGCGGATTCAACAGGTAAGGCAAGGCGTGATGTGGAACGATTCTCAGACACCGATCAATGCACAAAGACATCTGAAAACACGGAGAGCATAGGTGGATAAAGATCAACTTAAGCTTTTAACTGCTTTGCACAGAAATAATTATTAATTTAAGAAAGTGTATATTGCATTGTTGGTGAGTAACTAATTGAATTACATGTAATTTAACTAGTAAAGTTTGACCATATTTTCATTCATATTTGCATCGTAAATCAGGAGGTTATTAACTCTTTTTTTTGCCTATATCATGCAGTTAACTACTAAAACTTCAGGCAAAAAAGTAACGAATGATTGTATTTAGATTACATTTTGAATTAACAAAAGACTGCACTGACGAGTAGTCTGGAAATTATATTCCATAAAGGATGTTTAAATAAGTCTGACCTGGTATATTAAGGGTTCAGCTCAGGATCAGTGTTACAGTCACTACTGTACTTGTTACTTTTTGGCATAGTTTGCAGTTATATATTTTTCATATTTTCCAATGGCAATCCATGGTAATCAACTCCAAATGTGTGTGAAAATTAACCCAATAATGGACTTTGATCCATGGCTTCATAGTAAATTCACCTTTTTAGTATTGTACTCTCCTAAATGTCACTTACAAACATTCAAAAATCTGAGGGACAGGTGATAAATGATTATGAAATGGTTCTTTAACCTCAGAGTTGGTATGTATTTATATTTTGCATTGACCTCCAGGTGCGGGAGCAGCAGCGGTATATCTCGCTACAGATCTGCAGAGAGGTGGAGCGCAGGCGGCAGCGTGAGCTGGAGCAGCTGGAGAAGGACCTGAGGGAGGACTGGGAGCGGCAGCAGAGGGACAAACTTCACACCCTGCAGACATTATACCAGGAGAGCCTCCAGCTGCTTGGCCAGGGACACAGGAGTGCAAAAGAAAATGTAAGATTACAAGAAGCTTTACCCTGTCTTCATTAGCTAGAGTTTCTGTTCCATTAATTGAACACAATACACCCTTTGAAGCTGTCCCTGACCTCTGTTTAGTTTGTTGACTCTGAACCTGAGATTAACTCCAAGACGAGGAACAGATGAAACCAAAATGTGAACAAGACCATCACATAAAGATTAATACATTTTCCAAATCATTTAATATTTCTGTGGTCATTTTAATTTATTTTAAGGAACCCGACTTGGAAGCCATAGCTCAGAGGGAGGAGGAAAATAACGTCAAAGCAGAGGAGCGTTACCGGGAAGCCATGAAGGAGCTCAAAACACAGAGGCTTAAAGACCATGAGGGGCAAAGCCGGTGAGCAGCAGAAACAATTGCTCGAAAAACATTATCATGCATTTTATCAAAATGAACTGAACAACAAGTCTATTCATATGTTTGTCTGTAGATCCACCATGGCCAGGAAGAAGGCACTACAGACAGAAAAGGAAAGATCAGCTAAAGTGGCCAGTCTCCCTAAGCCCCCCCCACACCCAATTCAGGTGATTCTCCCCACCACTTATATTAGTTACACTGTTTTCCTGTTGGCCTGATAAGCCACCTGGATTTGCAAGCTGACCTTTATCATTTACAGAAGTGATAAATAAAAGTCATACCTTTCAAGTTTCACAGGTTTTTAGTGTAGTCATGGTAACATTGTCTTTTTGTTCAAGCAGAGCATTGATTTCAAGAAGCCACATGTAGTGAAGAAATCTGATGTGAGTGCTTTCGCAGCCACGCATTATCATATGCCTGACAGCACAGTGGACAGAGAGGCAGACACAGAGCAGGTAAGATCTCTGATTATTGTATTTACATAACCCCCGCTTTGGTTCTCCCCTCCTGTTGGGATGTCTAACCTGTACTTGTGTCATCAGCCCAGTGCCCATGAGGGAGCTGAGCTGGAGGTGAGGAGGCTGCAGGATTTAAAGAAGGAGGAAATGAGGAGGCGAGAGGAGCAGCTGGAGAAGGCTCGTCTCAGAGGGAAGCAGGCGCTGAGGAGGGAACATCTGGAGCAGGTTAACTCACATCTTACGTTGTTAGAAGATACACACCAACATTGTTCACATGTATCTGACAGATGATATGCTCCAAAGCTACTTGCCATCACTGTGGTGGAAACACTGTTGACTGATAGCAGGACAACAGCATTAGCCATAGTAGACAGATTGACCTCTTATGTAAAGACTATATATATCACTTATTTTACCTGCTTTGCCACTTTTGCTTGTAACACGGTACATGTCCCCACTGCAGGACTTATTAAGGCATTCTGATTCTGAATAATTTCCACATTTGTGTCATAGAAACACAAATTATTATGGCCTTTTTTTTTATGTCTAATCTGTTTTTGGTGACAACCCTTAGGATCGAGAGCGCTTGCTTGTTGAACTGGAGCACATGCAGCAGACAGACCTGCTCAGGAGGAGGCAGCAGGTTTTCCAGATGCCTGCTCAGATCTTCCAGCCTCTCTATAAGAGACAGGAGACAGCAGAGGACTACCAGAGGGAGATGGAGTTTGCCTTTGAGGACATGTACACAGGAGAGAGGAGTAAGTCAAACTCACCAAAAGCTTCTTTGATAGTCCACTGCTCAAATAATCCCACACTCTCGTATGAGAGCTTGAGAAGTTAGAAAAAGAAGGTAACATATAAAAAAGAGGAAACCATGTAACATTTATACTGGTTAACAACACTGCTTTCCGTTACATGAAACACACCTAAAAAGGAACAAATTGCATATTTCTAAAGGTGGACCATTTGTGGCTCTGCTTGAATCCATGCACACAATTTCTAAGTAGCCAGAACATGTGGCTTAACTATTAACATTTTATTGGAGCTCCCTTAAAGATTGACTGTGTCTGATGGCAGGGGTTAAAGGAGACCTGGTGGTGCAGCTGGTTCCAGAGCCTCTGCCGGCTCTGTCCACAGGGAGCCAGGACCAGGAGCTGGACGTCACGCAGGATGAAATCCCCCCACAAGGAGCAGGAACCACACAATATGACCCCGAGCAGGAAACATCCGTTCAAGGTAAAGAAGCAGCAGATACAACCTAAACTCACAGGTTTTAAGGGTTTCAGCAAGGTTTGTAAAAAAAGGTTTTTGGGATATACACAAAATCAATACACACATCACGTCCTTGATACTCATCTTTACCAAGCCGAAACCTCACTCATGTTTTTTTGTTGCAGTGGAGCCCTTCAAGCCTGCTCCTAGACGGGCGTTAAGGAAGCTCTTGGATCGTATCAGGAACCAGAGGAACCATTGGACTGAGCAGAACTCTCATGTTCCTGCAGCCGAACCACCGACCTCCATCACAGATCAGATCCCAGAGCGGGACACCACCATCGACACAGGCTCTCTGAGCAGCGAGGAGAAACACAGCCTGGAGCCTGCCCCCTCCCCACCAGGTAGCTCACACTCTTCACACTATAACGGTACGTCTACAAAGCAGCGTTAAAAAAATCTTGAAACGCTTCTGCCCATTCACTTTGAATGGGGTGACGTCACTTTCCCTCACTTTTCGCCGAAATGCATTGTGGGCAGGCGAGCGGAGATTTTGAGGATTTTGAGGATTCAAAGTTGAACAATGTTCAACTTTTGAAGCTGAGGTGGAAGCGGCAGCCAATCAAATCCTGTGTACGCAAATCTGACCGTTCAAGCTCTAGCCAATCAAACGGCGTGTATGCTGGGAGAGACATACCGCAGGTCATTTCCTCATATTCCAAAAAATGGAGGAGAAATTAGCGGTAGCGAATCAATCACCCGGTGCTTTATGACCAGACCTACCGGGATATAAACCGGAGGAGCCAGGCATGGAGGGAGGTGGCAGAGACAGTGGTAGGTTTTCGCCTGTTTTGGGGAGTTTATATCCAGTTTACTTCGGGCTTTTTGGCTTCGTATGTCGCGGGCGGGAGATTCATGTGATTGGTTGTTCGCAAAAAATCCCCAAGCTTCAGATACGCCCACCTCCAAGATTTTTTTAACGCTGCTGTGTAGACGTTCCGTAATACAATCATTGTGATAGAAGTTTGATATTTGAGAATATTGAGATTGTTTTTTTTTACTCTTTTTTTCACCCTGTTTTTATTTTATTCTTCTGTTTTTACACCAAATATCATATTATGTTTGTATTCGGATTACCTAATCCAAATATACTTTGCACTCAAACTTTGCAACAAGAAAATACCAGACTCCCCATATTATCAAAAGCTATGACATACCTTTGTGCATCAGGAACTACAACACTATCCAACCTTACAAAGTGAAGCAATTTTAATACCGTTTATTTATTCTTCAACATTTCTATTATCTATGTACAACTCTAATCTTGGTCATTTTGTTTTTCTTCTCAGTAAATTACCCCCCTTCTCTTCAACTGCCATATAAGGATAAACTTAGTAAAATAATAATAGTTCATTTCATGTTCTCCTCTATTTTATTCAACCAGCGTTGAAGACAACGGAGCCGCCAGCTGCAGCAGAAACTCAACTTCCAGATGTACTTGCCAACAGAATAAAACAGTTTGAAGAAGAACGAAAGAAAAGGGTACGTGTGTACTGTATTCCCATTTATGTGATACTGAGCGGGAACTATTTTCCTACACTGTATACATGCTGCTGATAGGAGCAGATCAGCTGACAGCTTTAAATGCTTGTGCTCCAAACACTGGAAGGTCAGTTTCTCAATGGAAACAAGCAGTTTGCTTTTAAGCTTACTAAAATGGTCAATCTCTGGGGTTTATTGTCTGTCGGTTTGTTTCATCACTTGAAATGACAACAAAGAAGTTCATTATAAGAAGCAGTAGGTTGATAAGTGAGAGGTTTCTTTATGTCACACTAGGAATTTCACTCTTTGTCAAAGGTCCTTCTGTATTCACTGTTCCACTGTCAGCTTCATTTGTTATCCCAGAGGCTTGATGCATTTTCCTGATAGGTCAGAATGCCTTTATCCAGGTGTTCCTCGTTACTCAATCAGCCCAGCTCCTAAAGCAGCAGTGTGGCAGTCACCTCTCCTCGTGCATGACTTTTGGTTCTGCTTTCAACATGTTATCTTTTTCAATAACTTCAGACCACAGGGCGACTGTGGCTGCGAGGGAGTGCGGTCGTCTTTCAACCAGAAGGTTGTGGGTTCGATCCCAGCCCGTACAGTCAACATGTCGATGTATCCTTGGGCAAGATACTTAACCCTGAGTTGCTCCCGATGGCATGGCCAATGGTGTGTGAATGTGTGTGAATGTTAGTTCCTAGAGTAAGGTACACTGCTCTGTATGAATGGGTGTGAATGGGTGAATGACATGTAGTATGTAAAGCGCTTTGAGGGGTCTTAAAGACTGGATAAAGCGCTATATAAGTACAGTCCATTTACCACAGCTTGGTTACCTGTTTTTAAGCTAGTACACTGAAGAAAAACAACTTCAGTAAAAAGTAATCAAAATAAAGTTGCACATAGGACACACACAGGAGCCTCAATCTGGGCTTCCTGGGAATTCCTGTGGAGAAGGATGATCTTCTTAATTCTACATTTCATACAAGGATTTCATACCTGCTCGCTCTGGTGCAGGACGTACAGATTTTATTTTGTGGGCTCTCACCTTTCAGTCAAACCAAGTACTGTCAAGTACCATATCTGTTTATTTAACCTCTACTTAACATTAGATATTCAGTCAGTAATTAGGGGCTCAGTTGAACATGTTGGTTTGTGATCTACCCTACATGTAACATGATTGCTGTTTTTAAACTTGTTTTTCTGTTCAGGATGAGGAGCTCGAGAGAGAGAAGCAGCAGCAGGTGGTTTTGCTCCAGGAGCTTGAAGAGCAGAAAGCCAAATTGGAGCAGATGCTGCATGAGGCTCAGCAGGAGAGAGAAGAGCTGAAGGCTGCTGTGACCCAGGAGGCTCCTATCAACCAACCAGAAGTACCCGTCCATGAGCAGGAAGCCCCCTCTGTCCCTCCTGAGGTAGGCCTTTGAGCATTAAAGCTATCCCTGGTTAACCTGTCATTATTTCTCTGAGCTACTAATATTCCTGTGAGATCTGTTTTATCCTTTAAGATATCTTATGTGAAGTGCGGTCAGAAAAATAACTTCAGTGATGGCTGCTTCTTCACTCTTTGACAGCTGGTGCCTCCTGCAGGTGAAGATGAGCACACCAGAAGGATCAGAGAGTACCAACAGCGACTGCTGCAGCAAAACAGGTGTGTTTTTAAATCCTGAATATAAACTACATTTATTTATTTAGCCAGTCACTTTCACCACTTTTCCTTGCGATTATGTTTAAAAGTAAATCTCATCAGCTGACAAAGAAATAAACCTTTTGAGTGCTACTTTTACCTATATTTATAAAGTTTTAGAGGATTTTATTTAGTTTGGAGGGTATTGTATGCTCTAATTTTAAAGCTCCTTGATGCACCGAGATTGGGCTCTATAAATAAAACTGACGGTCTTTATTTCAGCCTTCACCAGAGGTCAGTGGAAGTGGCCCGTCAGCGCCTAGAGGAATACCAGCGAGCTCTACGGATTCGCTACAACATGACCCCCACATCTTTACTGCCCGCTGCAGTGCCTCCAGGCCTCTTTCCCCCCCCTCTGCACGGTGTTCAGTCTGTGCATCCTCCAGCTCCTCTGCAGCTCCCTACACCTCCGGCCTCGCAGGCATACATCCACGCCAAAGCACTAACCCCTGTGGAAGTTCCCACAAGAGAGTCGGACATGTTAGCTTCACATTCACAACCTCCTAGCTCAAATATAAGCTCTGCCTCCAAGTTGGTGCCAGATGAAGTTGAATATATTTCAAGCAATCCCAGGAACCAGAAGTTCACTGCCTGGCTGACAGACAACATCATGGAGAGAGTCACAGGGCATCTCACAGAGAGAGTGAGAGCAACACGTCACTCAGCCAGCATCACACTGCAGCCAACCTCTGATCCAATCCAAGGCAGTAGCTCCATCATCTCCTCTGGTGCACCTCTGGCTCCAGTTCCAGAAACTGTTAGGCCTGTGACTCTGCCACACTGTTCCCTACGGACCGGGTCCCTGAGCTCCACAGAGGACGACAGGATGGAGAGGCAGAGACCAGAGCTGCAGGAGGTCCAGAGACCAGAGCTGCAGGAGGTCCAGAGACCAGAGCTGCAGGAGGTCCAGAGACCAGAGCTGCAGGAGGTCCAGAGACGGCTGCTGGAGCAGAGGGAGGAGGTGGCGCTGCAGCAGAGGCAGCAGGAGGAGGAGAGGCGACAACAGGAAGTGGAGATGGAGCAGATGAGGCGGCAAAAGGAGACGTTGCAGGCTCTCATTCAAACTGAAGAACAAGTAAGTGACAGGACTAGCACTGCTGTTATGTTTTTGCAAAAGTACAGCAGACAAATCATTACGTTAATACACAAAAACAAATGACAACAGTGCTTGTTTCTGAGTGATGAGGTGAAATGAACTGACTTCAAGTGTATTTGATTGAAGCTCAATGAGTGTGTGCTTGTATGGGAGAACAACTGTCCTGATGCCTTGTCTCGCCCATAGCCACTCCCAGAGGCTGCCAGAGGAGTTTTGGATTCAGAGAGCATCAGGCAGACCCGTCTCAAGTTACTTGCCTCCCTGCTGAGAGCTATAGAGGAGACTAACGGAGGAACTTTATCCCACCTTGAAGACCCTCAGGATGAAGATGGCTTCTCCCTCTGTGAAAACCTTTGAATATATTGCTTCCTTAAATGAATCAAACTTTCGAACCTAGCTTTATTGAATGCATTTATGTATGTTTGCATATTAAATGCAAGTATGCTTTGGCTTTCAATTATAAATAAAAAGTAGTACACTTTAAGTTACTGTAAACCCCTGTGGTTTCATATTCTGTGTAGTAATTGTTAAATGTTCCATTTAGATCTCATGGCTCAGAGTGATGCTCCTGCTGCCCCAGCATCTGCCCCCCCCTCAGGACTCCTCCCTCCTCCACGAGCAGCAAAGCCCCCCGTGACCCGTGTCAGGCTGAGCATCATGGAGATGATGACTGAACAACATGAGCTTAGTGCTATTCAAGAAGTGGAGACGTCAGTCAACACCAGCCAATCAAAAGGTCAGCTCAACAGCAGGAAGTGACACCCGTTTCCTCACATGCCAACAACGTTTAACCAGCTATGGAGAGTGATACCGATTGATTGGATTGTTGATGTTTCCCCAGGTCCTGAGAGTAGTGTACCAGCTCCTTCACACTCTCTGCACTGGGATCTGCAGGAGGACTATGAAGCGTCGGTGGTCTCTGACAGGGATCTGCAGACCCCCTGTTGGTCCAGCAGTGGGCAGCAGACTGCCAGCAGCCCTGAAACAAACTCATCAACATCCAGCCATGTCCTCTGGAGAGAGAGGCTGCTGGTGGGAGCAGGAACATCTCCAGAATCCTCAGAGTCTGGTATGTAGACGGTAAATAAATAGTGATGATACATAATGCCGATGAGAAGAACATAAAAGGGCCAAAATGAATATCTGTCCTCTTGGTTGCAACTCTCGTTTTCCAGATTCTATCCTGAGGATAATCTCCCCTCCTTCCTCTGACTCTGGGAGAGGAGCCGACTTCTCTGGTCCTGGAATCACAAGCTGCAGGTCCCCCAAAGAGGTAACCAGGCACTGCACACAACTCAGTTCAGACTCTGTCGTCCTCTTAGAACAAGTCATCACCCTAGTGGCAAACCTTGACAAAAGACTGATGAAGTGAGGAAGGAAGAAAGCGTTTTTGCCAATATACACTGAAAGCGCAGCTGCCTCTTGTGCTTGTAAACACTTGATAGACAGTTTTATAGACAGTATTAATAATAATGTGTCTACTGGCAATTTACAAATTCTAAAAACATATTAATTTAATTTCATAGTTAGTGTTTTTTCTGCATTTTAAATACTCTGAGGTTCACACGTTGTGGATCAATGATGAAATGTGGCCAAATCTGACTGCCTGGCCCTCTGCCACAGCAACTGATTATGCCCGAGAAGCTTCTCTTTTCTGTGTCTTGCTGTGTGTCCTGTGTGTGTTCTTCTTTTAGTGAATGTGTATGAAGATTGCAAGTCTGTCGGACACATCTGTGTGTGTCTGTATGTGTCCTTATTCTGAGCAATGATGTGAAATCTTTGCACCTAAAGTGTATTTAAGAATACATTTAATGATGGTTTCTACACTTGAACTGAGCTCAGTGAGTCTGTGTGCATGTATGTGTCTTTCACTAAATATAGGTTCGAGTAACTTTGTTCATTACATTTTGTACAGTGCTGAACATTTTAATGCAAAACCTTATATTAGAATCTAATAAACAAGTGGAATCATTGTTAATAACTTTAGTTTAGCTGCTTGTGGAACAAAATGAATCAGGCCTTTCTGCATAATGAGGAGGCACATTGTACTGATCTGAATACTTCTAACACAGGCTAGAATATAAACATTGAGCTGTGTGTGTGTGTTTGTGTGTTTTCTGAGCGATGATGTGAAATAACACAACCAGATTTGTATTTAATATAAAATGCATCTATGATGGTTTCTACACTTGAACTGAGCTCAGTGAGTCTGTGTGCATGTATGTGTCTTTCGCTAAATATAGGTTAGAGTAACTTTGTTCATTACTGTTCATTGTTCATTTTGTATAGTGCTAAATTCAAAACCTAATATTAGAATTAGAATATTAACATTGAGTATGTGTGTATGTGTGTATGTGTGTGTTTTCTGAGCGATGATGTGAAATAACACAACCAGAATTGTATTTAATATAAAATGCATCTATGATGGTTTCTACACTTGAACTGAGCTCAGTGTGTTTATATGTATGTGTCTTACACCAAATACAAATTCAATTAATTTCACGACGTACAGTGCTGAAAATTCAAACGCAAAAGCCCAACATATGTCTTCAAATAATTGGAAGATTTAAAGTACTAAAGTTTAGCTGCTTATCGGAAAAACCACTAAACAGGATTATTTTTGCGTAATGAGTAGGTACATTTGATTTCAGTTAATAATCTGAATACTTTGAACACTCACTAGAATATATACAAATCGAGCAAAGAAATCTTCAATTATACGTGTGCATATATGAATGTGTTGTTCTGTTTCTGAGCGATGATGTAAAATAACCCAACCAGAATTGTATTGAATGAAATGCGTTCATGATGGTTTCTACACTTGAACTGAGCTCAGTAAGTCTGTATGCTGTGTTTTTGATTCAATCCGTTGTTGATCACTTTAACATATTCATTTTGGGTGCCTTTATGATTTTGTCAGTCTGCAAATAGGCCTCCTGATTCTGACTGCCTCTCCTCCACCACAATCTCCACGGGCAGCTACATCTCCACCGATCCTGAGCAGAACATAAGCACTGGTGAGGGTCTTTTTTCATGTTTTAATGCTATTTTTTTTACCTCTTTGCTAAATCTAATTTAGAAAATCTGATTGAAAAAGATGAAGAATTGAAATGGCCTTACCAGAAAGATCTGTCTGGCTCTTCATTATTCACTAGAGAATCTGATTGGGTCCGTCCAAATATGAAGCAATATAATAAGTGTATGAGCTGCGGTCCAAATGATGAATAATGTACACACACCAGGTGGCTTGCTGCTTTGCTCTCTTCAAGCTCACTGAATGCAATGTCTTTCACAATGCCTGTTTCATGTATGTTTTTATGTATCTTGCATGCAAACTAGGAATAGGGATTTTATGAGGACCAAAAGCGCAATCTTAAATGTACAAGCTCTAGTGTGATCTGCAGAGAGGTCAAAATGTCTCTGTCTTTTAAAAAGTGCTTCCAGCGAATGTCAGAGATGATTGAAGCTGAATGGCTGTGGACTTCCACAAGTTAGCTTCCCTCTGAAATGCAGTGTGGCATATGTTTTTGGTTTGTAATGTTTCGGAATAATATGTGAACTATCTCAATTCCATATGTTTGAAATGATATATAATGAAATGATTAAAAATGTGTACAGCTGGAACCCTGTTCTCAAGCTTCCTAAGGCTTATTGTGTTCCATTTCACATCTCTCCATTATGGCTCATGATTATACCTGTAATTCTAGTTTCACTTGTGAAATGAATGATGTTGTGTTTTATAACTTTTTATGAGGCGTAAATCTGTTCTCCTCCTTTTCCTCTCCCACTTCTTCATTAGATGAATGCCCGCTGCTCAGACGGTGTGTAGAACCGGAGCGTGGAGCAGATTCACTCCATGTGTTCTCTCCACCCGGTCAGAGCGTCTGCTTTAAGGACAGCTCACCTGCAGACCGTCCTGCTCTTTCTGTCGGCTCTCTCTTTAATGACAGCAGCATCCAGCACATCATAGACAAATACACACGGGAGCTGAACATCTCCCTCAGCACTGCTGGCAGAACCACAGGTACTGTAACACCCTATTGAACAGTCCAAAAATGTCAAATCGGAAGACTGCAGCATGTTAATAGTCTTTCGTCGTCTTTGTTGGTCTTCAGACAGTGAAGGCTCATATGTGGAGGAATCTGGCTCTTCAGTCTCCCAGCAGTCTTTGCTTGGAGTCCCGGAGAGGAGAGGGGGGAGTGAGAGCTCCACCTCCCCTCAGTCTCTTCCCTCAGATTGGGCAGCAGCACAGAGGAGGGGCCTGGTCAGTGACTCACATTCTTACAGTAGACTAGAGAGGACAGACCAAACTCTGGCTCTAGAGGGCTTTTTGTGACCTAAAGGCCACCGTACTTCTCTGAGTTGCTTGGACAGTGAGGGGTGATCTGAGGGGGATTCCTTTTCATGGCAATAAGGAATTTTAAACTGTTGTTTAGCCGGTATCTTTTACTGTTTCTACATTAATTGTATTTTTATCAAAAATACTTTTGTATTTTTACTTAAAGGTCCCCTATTATACTGTTTTTCATTCATATATTATAGGTCTCAGTTATATACAAAACATGTCTCTGAAGTATTTTGCTCCAAATACCAAACAGATCATTGCAGCATTACCCATAATCCCCTCTGTTTCAGCCCTGTTTCCAAAGTGCTGATTCTCTGTCTGTTACTTTAGATGAAAATAAGGAGCCCCTCCCCACGCCCCTCTGAGAGACATTTGGTTACATAGAACTCTCAATGGTGCTCTAGGAGGAGATTCAGGTGATAAAGTGGGTGGGGGGTTAGCTTGGTTGCTGATTGGCTAATGGTTACACAAGACAAAACATCGTTATGACATCATCAAGTGGCCAAAATCTGATCAGCTCATTTTCAGACAGGTTTTTATATAAATGGATCAGGACAAAAAGAGAGAGAATCTTTGTTCCTGAAACTTTCAGAGTCTCTTTCCACAGAGGGGACACATGTTGATGAAGAAGAGACATGAAGAAGAGGGGACACATGTTGATGTAGAAGAGACATGAAGAAGAGGGGACACATGTTGATGTAGAAGAGACATGAAGAAGAGGGGACACATGTTGATGTAGAAGAGACATGAAGAAGAGGGGACACATCTTGATGTAGAAGAGACATGAAGAAGAGGGGACACATGTTGATGTAGAAGAGACATGAAGAAGAGGGGACACATCTTGATGTAGAAGAGACATGAAGAAGAGGGGACACATGTTGATGTAGAAGAGACATGAAGAAGAGGGGACACATCTTGATGTAGAAGAGACATGAAGAAGAGGGGACACATGTTGATGTAGAAGAGACATGAAGAAGAGGGGACACATGTTGATGTAGAAGAGACATGAAGAAGAGGGGACACATCTTGATGTAGAAGAGACATGAAGAAGAGGGGACACATGTTGATGTAGAAGAGACATGAAGAAGAGGGGACACATGTTGATGTAGAAGAGACATGAAGAAGAGGGGACACATGTTGATGTAGAAGAGACATGAAGAAGAGGGGACACATCTTGATGTAGAAGAGACATGAAGAAGAGGGGACACATGTTGATGTAGAAGAGACATGAAGAAGAGGGGACACATGTTGATGTAGAAGAGACATGAGGAAGAGGGGACACATGTTGATGTAGAAGAGACATGAAGAAGAGGGGACACATGTTGATGTAGAAGAGACATGAAGAAGAGGGGACACATGTTGATGTAGAAGAGACATGAAGAAGAGGGGACACATGTTGATGTAGAAGAGACATGAGGAAGAGGGGACACATGTTGATGTAGAAGAGACATGAAGAAGAGGGGACACATGTTGATGTAGAAGAGACATGAAGAAGAGGGGACACATGTTGATGTAGAAGAGGGGACACATGTTGATGTAGAAGAGACATGAAGAAGAGGGGACACATGTTGATGAAGAAGAGGGGACACATGTTGATGTAGAAGAGACATGAAGAAGAGCGGACACATGTTGATGAAGAAGAGGGGACACATGTTGATGTAGAAGAGACATGAAGAAGAGGGGACACATGTTGATGTAGAAGAGACATGAGGAAGAGGGGACACATGTTGATGTAGAAGAGACATGAAGAAGAGGGGACACATGTTGATGTAGAAGAGACATGAAGAAGAGGGGAGACATGAAGAAGAGGGGACACATGTTGATGAAGAAGAGACATGAAGAAGAGGGGACACATGTTGATGTAGAAGAGACATGAAGAAGAGGGGACACATGTTGATGTAGAAGAGACATGAAGAAGAGGGGACACATGTTGATGTAGAAGAGACATGAAGAAGAGGGGGACACATGTTGATGTAGAGGAGACATGAAGAAGAGGGGGACACATGTTGATGAAGAAGAGACATGAAGGAGAGGGGGACACATGTTGATGTAGAAGAGACATGGAGAAGAGGGGACACATGTTGATGTAGAAGAGACATGAAGAAGAGGGGACACATGTTGATGAAGAAGAGACATGAAGAAGAGGGGACACATGTTGATGTAGAAGAGACATGAAGAAGAGGGGACACATGTTGATGTAGAAGAGACATGAAGAAGAGGGGACACATGTTGATGTAGAAGAGACATGAAGAAGAGGGGACACATGTTGATGAAGAAGAGACATGAAGAAGAGGGGACACATGTTGATGTAGAAGAGACATGAAGAAGAGGGGACACATGTTGATGTAGAAGAGACATGAAGAAGAGGGGACACATGTTGATGTAGAAGAGACATGAAGAAGAGGGGACACATGTTGATGTAGAAGAGACATGAGGAAGAGGGGACACATGTTGATGTAGAAGAGACATGAAGAAGAGGGGACACATGTTGATGTAGAAGAGACATGAAGAAGAGGGGAGACATGAAGAAGAGGGGACACATGTTGATGAAGAAGAGACATGAAGAAGAGGGGACACATGTTGATGTAGAAGAGACATGAAGAAGAGGGGACACATGTTGATGTAGAAGAGACATGAAGAAGAGGGGACACATGTTGATGTAGAAGAGACATGAAGAAGAGGGGACACATGTTGATGTAGAGGAGACATGAAGAAGAGGGGACACATGTTGATGAAGAAGAGACATGAAGAAGAGGGGACACATGTTGATGTAGAAGAGACATGGAGAAGAGGGGACACATGTTGATGTAGAAGAGACATGAAGAAGAGGGGACACATGTTGATGAAGAAGAGACATGAAGAAGAGGGGACACATGTTGATGTAGAAGAGACATGAAGAAGAGGGGACACATGTTGATGTAGAAGAGACATGAAGAAGAGGGGACACATGTTGATGTAGAAGAGACATGAAGAAGAGGGGACACATGTTGATGTAGAAGAGACATGAAGAAGAGGGGACACATGTTGATGTAGAAGAGACATGAAGAAGAGGGGACACATGTTGATGTAGAAGAGACATGAGGAAGAGGGGACACATGTTGATGTAGAAGAGACATGAAGAAGAGGGGACACATGTTGATGTAGAAGAGACATGAAGAAGAGGGGACACATGTTGATGTAGAAGAGACATGAAGAAGAGGGGACACATGTTGATGTAGAAGAGACATGAAGAAGAGGGGACACATGTTGATGAAGAAGAGACATGAAGAAGAGGGGACACATGTTGATGTCGAAGAGACATGAAGAAGAGGGGACACATGTTGATGTCGAAGAGACATGAGGAAGAGGGGACACATGTTGATGTCGAAGAGACATGAAGAAGAGGGGACACATGTTGATGTCGAAGAGACATGAAGAAGAGGGGACACATGTTGATGTAGAAGAGACATGAAGAAGAGGGGACACATCTTGATGTAGAAGAGACATGAAGAAGAGGGGACACATGTTGATGTAGAAGAGACATGAAGAAGAGGGGACACATGGTGATGAAGAAGAGACATGAAAAAGTGGATTTTGCATAATAGGTGACCTTTAAAAGTTATAATGCAGGACTTGTTGGGATTACATGTTTCCTATTAACTCTAACCCATTCCATTAACGATACCTTGTTTTTAATGCAAGGCATTAAAATGTAATACTTTACTCCTGAAGCTGTGATTGCAGAAGTCATACACTTCAAGTTACTATAAACCCCTGTGGTTCGTCAGTACCGTGGAGTCATTTAAAAAAAAATGTTTCCATAAGAACGTATCAAAATGTGTATAACCCTGAGTTCTTCTTACACCACTGCACATTATGAATGAAAGTCAGTTAAAAACGTTGCTGTGACATGCCCAGCATTCACAGGATTTGTTTTTGCCCCAGGAATGCCACACTGCAGTCCCTCCAGTCCTGGAGCCGCTGTCAGGCGAGGAGCCGTCACCAGCTGAGGACCACGAGCAGGACTCCTTCAGACCTCTGATTGGCCAGCTGACGGACCAGTCATCCTGTCTCGCTGCTGACCACATGGACTCGGCCATGGAGCAGCTGGTAGGTCAACCATCGGCTCACTCTTCCATGATTGGTCAGCTACCTGGTCCGATCTCGACAAGCTTTGATCACGGCGGCTGGGACTCCACTCTGAGCCGGATGATTGGGCGACTGTCCCATCAGTCCAGCTCTCATTGGCTGAGTGGTGGGCAGGACTTTTATGCAGGTCAGCTGATGGGCCGTGTGCCTTTGGAGCAGTCGGCCGCGTGGTCGGAGGAGGGTCCGGAGGGGAGTGGAATGAGGCCGCTGGTCGGGGAACTGGACGAGTCAGCAGGCCGGCAGGGAGCCAGCTCAGGTAAAAGGAGAGACTTAATAATAAACAGACTCCAAGGTTGCATTCGAATAGTCCATTTTGCTTAGGAACCTTCCTAACGGAGTGAAATGACCCGGAAGTCCCTCAGTGGCAGCCATGTGCCGTTCCAATTCTCTAAATGAAAGGAAAGGAGGTTTCAAACTTCCTTTATAACCTCCTTTAGCTTAGGAACCACTGGACCTCCCTAACCTAAAGGAGAGGAGAAAATGCTGCCCCACAATGCCTTGCGGCCACGGCATTTGCCGTCACACAACAGTCGGCCGTTCACGGAAACAACCGATTATGAACGAGAAATGATATCATGAAAGTTACGGTGCTTATTAAGCATTTTAAAACGTATGTGGTAAGTTGCCAAAGTGCTTTGTTTTGAACGTTCATCAGTATTATAATCAAAAAGAGAAATATGAACGTTAGTTTTTACTGAAATGATCAAATAAAGTCAACATGTCACAGTCTTTACTGAGCTGTGTGGGGTTTGTTCAACTTTTAAAAGATGTTTGAATGGTGATATACACAGTGATAGATGTTAAGGACTAACGTTTATAATAAATACATTTGTATTGATTTTAAGATCTTTTCATACAATCATACGTATTGGGATCATTTGTATTAATGTGGACCGGAGGGAGAGGGTGACGAGCATAAGTTTCACTTTCCTTTTTTATTTCAATTCCAACTTTGGTCATGAAGAATATGTTTCTCTGTTGTCCCCGTTCATAAAGCATAAAACAACAGCATCAGAGCACGGTGCAGAGTCTCTAGATGAGTTTACAGTAGTCCCTGGTTCTTATTAAACATCCATGTTGTAGTCCGCTGTATAGAAAACTGTAGTTTCCATAGTTTCCCCACAGCAGCAGGCGCACATTTATGACCTCCGCTGGCGCATCATAAACACGTCGGATAGTGAAAGTGCAGTCGATTCTCTAAAGTACCGCAGTCTCTTCTCTTAAGTCCTTTTGAATTCTCCTATCCACTATCCCTTAACCCCGTGACGTTTCACTCAGAGGTCAAGGGATAGACGATAGGGTTAGAACTTAGGAGCTGTTTTTTGGACTATTCGACCGCAACCCAACTTTCCACTGGTTGACTTGAATAATTTCTTTCCAACCATTTCTCATCTTTTTGCAGTTATTGTAGAAACACTGTTCCATGGTTAAAGGTGTACTGATGGCAGTCTATATGTTTGTTGGCACTCAAACATCTATTCACACAGCTCTTTAGGATGAAATACAGTTGAGTCAAAATAAAGTGAATTGCTCTATACCGGGTTATAGCAGCATGAAGTGATCACAATCTGAAAATACATTGATGTTCAAAAGTTTGGAATCTCTTTACACTTTTTCTTGTTTTATTCATTACATTTGAACAGAGATAACATCATTGATTTTCTTAAGAGGAGAATGAAATGATTACATCTTTGATCTTAGATGATTTCCCCACAGTGTGACATGAATTGTTAGTGACTAGCTTTCAATATTAAATCACTAAGTTTAGATTGGACTCTAAATATTGAGTTTCTCTTAGAGACCTCTGCACTCAGTGTTCGAATATAGAGCTTTAAACTGTGATCTGTCAGTCATATGTCCAGCTGATATTCACACAGTGCATCCACTAACATTCTGTTTCTGTTGAAGTTTAAAGAACAGCTTTGCTAGAGAAGTTCATTCCAGCTTGTAGAGGTATTATTGTACACTTGACACTGGACCAGAAAGCTTTTCTTATTTAAATCTGCACACATGTTGATGCTAAGCTAACAGCTTCTCTCACCAATGACTGCTGATTTCTTCTGTTCTTATTGAACTGTTGCTCAGAGGCTCTTAGTTGCTCTGCCCGTTACACTGTCAGTCTGGATGTTCAGCATTCTGCCTTCATACAAATAACATGTATCTTTAAAGAGGACTTTCTATACGCTTAATGCATGAACGTGCATTCAGAAGAGTAGTCCTCTCATCTGACTGAAGCTTTGGTGGCAGCAGGACATTACAAACTGTTTGAATGCAGTGTTTGTCTGCTTATCCACTTTCTCAAAGTAGGAAAAGAGGTTTAGAGTGTTCATCATCTCATCTGATGTTTTGCAGATGAACGAACCCACGCTGATCTTGGTGTCTCAACTGACGCCAGTGTGCCGCCGTCTTACCCAGTGTTTCCTCCTGAAGCCTGGCCCCACAGCGCCTCTCCCCCAGGTGTGAGTCCTCTGCAGCAGACCCTGCTCATACAGGCAGCATCACCACCAGACCGGGGTCCAGAGAGGACTGAAGGTGAGCTTTACACCATTCAAGTCATTACAGCCAATTCTAAAATGACCTTATGATGGTTATATCAAGGGGAGTATATTACAATATGTAATTTCAGCAAAGTTAAAGTTTGATTTAGGAAACTAAATGTGTCCGCCTTCTTATATTTGCATGACTTGTCTTACCCAGTAAGAAACTATGTGCTTCATCTTCATGTTTATCCCCATCTGGTTCAGACTCATTCCACCCGCTACTGGCGGAGGTCCTCCACAACGAAACAGCAGACCCCTCCATGACCTTTCACCTGCCTGACCACCATGTGCCTAGCTGTACTGAAGGACGGCCACACAGCAGGGGGGAGGAGTCTGAAGCCAGCTCTGATCCTTCTGTTGAGTCTGAGCCGTCCCCTGAGCACCTCCGAGCAGAGCAGCCGGCCAGCTGCAGGGCCGCCCCCCCCCTGCATGGATCCTTCTCTCAGCTCATCACTTCCCAGTGCCACCCCCGTGAATCTGAGGAGGAGCTGACTGCTTTAGCCATTTGTGATGATTCACTTACTGTGGGTGAAGCAGATAAAGAAAGAAACTCCATTTCTGTTAGGGGTGGAGTCCCACTCCGTGACCTCTCTGAAGGGATATTGGTAAGATTGGGTTTTTCACCTTGATAAACTTTGAAAAAGCGTTGTCTTTTAGAAATTCACTGACTATTACAATGCCCTAAAAGGAAACACTATTGTAACTTGTCAAAGTTCCCAGTGCAATTTGGGTTTTGATATGTACATCTTATCACCACTGGCAAAAGGCATTGCAGAAATCAGCTCAAGGCTCAAATCAAGACAGAGCATCTGCATTTTATTTCCATACCTGATATATTATGATTCAATAAAGTTAGACCGAAAACGAGATGAATAAATAATTGTTATGTTATCTTGCCCAATTGACTGTCTGTAAAGGGAAACATGGAAGCAGATGAGTAAGATTGAAGTTGTTACTACGTGCACTTTTCTAGTAATACAACCACAAAGGAATTGTGTGTGTGTGTGTGTGTGTGTGTGTGTGTGTGTGTGGTGTGTGTGTGTGTGTGTGTGTGTGTGTGTGTGTGTGTGTGTGTGGTGTGTGTGGTGTGTTGTGTGTGTGTGTGTGTGTGTGTGTGTGTGTGTGTGTGTGTGAGTGTGTGTGTGTGTGTGTGTTGTGTGTGTGTGTGTGTGTGTGTGTGTGTGTGTGTGTGTGTGTGTTGTGTGTGTGTGTGTGTGTGTGTGTGTGTGTGTGTGTGTGTGTGTTGTGTGTGTGTGTGTGGTGTGTGTGTGTGTGTGTGTGTGTGTGTGTGTGTGCTGTGTGTGTTGTGTGTGTGTGTGTGTGTGTGTGTGTGTGTGTGTGTGTGTGTGTGTGTGTGTGTGTGTGTGTGTGTGTGTGTGTGCGCTGTATATCAGGAAGCTGCCAGAGAGAAGGGCATCCTGGAGCAGTCAGAAATAACACTCGTGAGCCTGGCAGACACCACACTGCAGGATCACGACACCACTGAGGAGGACCCCCATCCAGGGGGAGGGACAGAGTGGGGGGAGGAAGGCCAGCCCACAGAGGTGACTGTCTACATGTTTTAGACTACTAGACTTCAGCGGAAGGCTTCCCTGTGATCTCTAAACACAAACCATGTCTTCTGCAGGGGTCGCGGTCCACATTGTCACTGAATGACCCTCCAGAGGACAACAACCAAACACACCCAGGTAACCACAGCACTTACAGACTGAACATATCTGAGATAATAAACTGGGGATTTTTGCTTTTGACTTAAATATGGATATGATCATGAACAAACAAGTTCTAGTAGTTGACATACTCAATACAGATGTATTTCCTTTTTCAGTCAGAACATTGTGAACTTGAGAACCCTTCCCTCCCTAGACTCTCAGTGTGGTCCTGGCAGGGGAGTGACGGAGGTCCAGCAGCAGAGGCTCAGAGCCCTGCAGCAGAGATCCTCCCTCAGAGTGGAGGAGATCAAGGCCAGAAGGGCTCTAGCCAAGGTGAAACCTGAGATCCAAGGTCCATCTGAAGCCAGAGAGGAGTCTAAAGGAAAAGCATCTCCACCAGGCACCTGTAAGGCAAACAAGAAGTCCGAACCTCAACAAAAGCCTAATGCCAAGGTGAAGGGGGGGGGCGCTGAGCTGCATCCAACTACTGAGGAATGTGATATCATCACGCAGAAAAAGCCCCCACGTCCTCCAGGTATATTAACCTAATACAGTATCATACTATTTGACACTTTGGGTCATATCACATTGATGTATGAGCACCGCCTAAAAGACAAAGTATACCTTGGTGGGGTATCTTAGGAATCACACATTTTGTGTCTCCTTTGTGACATCAAAACAGCTAGTCCAGAAGTCATTCATATTCCAACATTCAAGGTGATGGTTTCTGATCTGGTGATCTAAATCCGTTGTAAGATATTAGTTCTGAGCCAAAGGGGGTAACGGGCCAGAAAAACAACTAATGGGTAAAACTGATACAAATACTTTGACCTCTAAATCAAGTTGTGTTCATAGAAATTGTATCACTCTAATGTGCACATCTGAGCTTTTTGGAATGAAAGCAGTGATAGATCGTGTTTTGGTAAGGATTTTCTTTAAAAAAATGAAAGCTAGAATAAAAACATCAGAAGTGTTCTGTAATATGTACAAAATACCCAGTCACTCAGAGAACATCAGATTGAGTTCTGCTCTTTATTGAATGCATGAGAAAACGTTTACAATGAAAGAGATTGTACAATGGCTCACGTGCACCTATCAGGTACAGCATAGAATAAGGTATTACAGTAGTTTCCCTGTTTTCTGATACCAATTATACGTCTGTAACCTAAATCCTTCATTAGGTTACTTTAAAATATATATTAATATGTATTGGTCTTACGTTAACAGGACCGTGTTGAAATAGGAGTATGACTACCTGTTAACTTTCAAATGATTGTCAGCCATAAGTGGACATCAACATCCTGTGCCATGTCTTTGTCCCCTCAGTGGGGGGTCCCAGGCTGGACCTGGATGACGAGGTGAAGGACGTCACACCAGAGCAAAGGAAACGTGAAGCTTCTGTGATGCACAGCAGAACTCAGAGGTACATGAAGGTTTAATAGTAATACTTCTATCTTCACTAAAACTTCTCACTGTTAACGCCCAACAACTGATGTTAGAACACTAGTTAACTTGTATAGCCGTTGCAGAGCTTCACTATGAAAGTCAGGAATGGACCACGATAGACGTTTATTTTTGGAGGCTTTTACCTTTTAGTAAAGGAATGTTCTATCTTCTAGTCTTCTGTCATTCAGTAGAAGACTGACAGTAACTTTCTATGAATATGCTTGGATACAGCACTCTGTGAACAGCCAGCTTCTTTAGCAATGACCTTTTGAGGCTTACCCTCCTGGTGGAGGGAGTCAATGACTGTCTTCTGGACAACTGTCAAGTCAGCAGTCTTCCCCATGATTGTGAAGCCTACTGAACCAGATTGAGAGACCATTTGAAGGCTCAGGAAACCTTTGCAGGTGTTTTGAGTTCATTAGCTGATTAGAGTGTGACACCGTGGCCGTGTCTCAATTCAGGGGTTGTATCCTTCGAAGGGTGCATTCGTAGACCGCATACGTCACTTCCGCCGAACGCTGTCCCAATAAAATAAAAAAGACGAGACTCCTCCGAATGTGGCCCACGAATGCAGCCTACTTTTCCCCAATTTGAAGGATACATCTGATGTACACTCCGCGGCCTACCATATCCCAGGGTGCAATGCGCGCAGGGAAGAGTGAGTTTTTTTCAAATGAAATGGCTTCCGGTCTCCCCAGCAGAGTGGATTTCAAAGCAGCAGCAAGCGGAGGAATCACTAATAAATGTGAGTATTGGGTTTGTTTGTTTGTAGCCTTTATTTAACCAGGTGAAAGCCCCTTGAGATCAAAAGATCTCTTTTTCAAGGGTGACCTGCAGGTTTTAACTTACTTTAAATTAACTAACGTCACACACGTCAAACCCAAGGGGCATTAAAACGTACATTTTCGTTAAATAATACGGATAAATATGTGACGTTAGTGACGCTAACTAGCTAGCTGGACGTACTGCACTGTTGTTTACACTTATTTTTAATTCAACTCCGAAGTTTACTAAAGTCATACAGAGATCTTGGCTCTGTTATAGATAAGTTATAATTTATATTACATAAATAGACCAAAGTGAAAACATTTAGACCTGTATAGCCTACAGTACGGTGGGATTTATAAAATGCTACCCTGACGTGTAGCTGCTGTTAGCTTTATTTATTTCTCTGACATGTTGCAATGTTTTACTGTTTATTAAACTTTGGGACAACATTACAACCTTTGTGTTCAGCTCATGCTGCTTTGAGGTGGGGCTAAAAGAAAAGCCTATTTTAAATATTTCCACCAGATTTGATCATCTGTTATTTAGGTTAAAGTTTATTTAATGTATCCTAATCCCATAATAATAAGACAATCACAAATAGACAGCAGCCTTTACATTGATGTTAGTTTGTGCGGTGCTGTCAAAGGGATGCACGTGTGACTGTCATTTAATCTCTTTAGTTTTTAAAAACCAGAACAGTACATAATTTTAAATGATCCTTTAGGGATTGTTTGTCTGAAATGCTTAGAGTTCAATTTTGCAATAATACTTCTGCAACCCTGTGTTTAATATGATTAATTCACCTTTTTATTTTTCTCTTGTTTTTCTCTGTAATTAGTACAATTCTGGAGAAATGGATCTGCTGGAGAAGGACCCCTAATCTGAAAAGTGCACAGCGGATCATCAGGACAGAGCTGCCATCCACCTGGACCCCCGAGGTGCTGGAGAAGGACCCCTAACCCCAGTGGATCATCAGGACAGAGCTGCCATCCACCTGGACCCCCCGAGGTGCTGGAGAAGGACCCCTAACCCCAGTGGATCATCAGGACAGAGCTGCCATCCACCTGGACCCCCCGAGGTGCTGGAGAAGGACCCCTAACCCCAGTGGATCATCAGGACAGAGCTGCCATCCACCTGGACCCCCCGTGGTGCTGGAGAAGGACCCCTAACCCCAGCGGATCATCAGGACAGAGCTGCCATCCACCTGGACCCCCCGTGGTGCTGGAGAAGGACCCCTAACCCCAGTGGATCATCAGGACAGAGCTGCCATCCACCTGGACCCCCCGAGGTGCTGGAGAAGGACCCCTAACCCCAGTGGATCATCAGGACAGAGCTGCCATCCACCTGGACCCCCCCGTGGTGCTGGAGAAGGACCCCTAACCCCAGCGGATCATCAGGACAGAGCTGCCATCCACCTGGACCCCCCGTGGTGCTGGAGAAGGACCCCTAACCCCAGTGGATCATCAGGACAGAGCTGCCATCCACCTGGACCCCCCGTGGTGCTGGAGAAGGACCCCTAACCCCAGTGGATCATCAGGACAGAGCTGCCATCCACCTGGACCCCCCGTGGTGCTGGAGAAGGACCCCTAACCCCAGTGGATCATCAGGACAGAGCTGCCATCCACCTGGACCCCCCGTGGTGCTGGAGAAAGCAAAACGGCGATCAGGAACATCCTCCACCCAGACCTCTGCTTACTGCCGTCCTACAGACTTGTGTCTGTTTCAGAATATGATTTTGTATGTGTCCTTTCTTTTAATAGATATATAACGATTATAGCTTGAGTCTGTCTGATTCCCCAAACAGCTGCTTCTATATACTTGCTGCACATATAATACAAATAAACAACTCCATAAACACACTTTTGCTGATATTTGTGTTACTGCTGGTGATGTTAAATAACATGATTGATTTCCTCTGTCTCAATGATGAAAGTTATAATAATACAAGACATGAAGCTGCAGAGAGAGGATGGATATATTCTTACCTCTACTTTGTGATAACATGAAAATACAAAATTAAATTAAAATAGTAATTGTTAAACACATTGTTTATTTCATTTACAACATGTGTACATAAGCAGTGGAATAATAGGATATCTCTAGGTCATTCAACTGTCTTCAGTTTAATTTTATTAATACAAAAAATAGGTCATAGAACATGTTTAATTGTGTATTTCAGCAGAGCGGGGGGTCACGGTGCTGCTGACCTGGGGTCAGTGGGACATCTGGGCTGGTTTAGGGGAAGAAGGAGAATATAAACTGTTATAATCACAGCTTTTAAGATTAGAACACTAATATTGTTAAGAATCAATCTATACAACATGCTGTTGTTCATTTAAAAAAACATATTGTTTTATTAGTACAGAAAAATTAAGACTTATTTTAAATATGAAAAAATATGATTAAATTACATCAGCTATATAATTTACTTGTTAACTTATTAATGTAACATTACTGGGGGCTAAAGGAACAGCTTGATCTTATTTACCTGGCCATGGTCATCATTTCATCGCCGTCGGTGATCTCCAAAAAATGGTTAAAGGGCCCATGTCATGGCCATTTCCACTGATCATAATTCCATTGTTGAGGTATACTAAAATAGATTTATACTGTCCAATTTTCCAAACTCACATTGGTTTCGCATACAGCATGTAAAGTATGTGTATTCAGCAGTATTCACTCTCTCTACTAAACGGCTCGTTGGAGCTCTTGCCCCCCCCTCCCTGTGAGCCTAGTGTGCTCCGATTGGTCAGCTCGGCCACTCTGTTCTGATTAGTCAACCACCAGAGAGGCTCCGCCCATGTCTAACAGTGCTTTTTTCGGCTCGCTCTCGGAACATCAGTCTTATAATGGCGTCGGTACAGCCGTATATTTTATACGCTAACTAACCGAACTGTACCTACAACTGTTGTTATAGAAGAGTAAGTTATTTTTACCTGTAATAAACTACTACTGTTTGATGAGAAATCAAATCATGGTTTGCTATATATGAATGATATGTTATAGGAGCAAATAATTCAGGGAAGAAAGGATAGGCCTACTAAGTATTTCCATCAAACATTATTTTTAGAAATGTACAAAATGAACATAAATATACATATATACACGGTATATCATCCATTCCTCCCCGTTGTCGGCATCTTGCCTATCGCAGCTGGGGCTTTTTAGGACGAGGCATCAGTGTGGTAGTCCCGTCCCCGTCATGTATTGTCCGCCAGGATCTGGCTGGACGAAATCAAATGCAAATCACAAAATATTAGAGAAACTTAGTTGTTTTAGATTCGTTAGTAGTAGTTGTGGTAGGAGTGTGGATCTATCTAATCCATCTATCTAATCAACACAGTAAGCTTGCCAGCTAATATGCTAACCTAGCTTTCTTGTTTACCTTGGTAACAAACACGATATGAACGTTAGCTCGGAGGAACGGCAACTATAATGTAGTGTAATAAAACGACTATGAACAAAAGCTAGTGGTTCATATTAGGCTAGCAATAACGTGTTTATAATTGCAATCTTATACGGGTAGTCTGCTACGTTCGGTCATTCATTGTAACTGGCATGAATACATTGTTTTTGCGCTAGCATGTATAGCTAGCCTCGTTAGCTATACATGCTATCAGCGTCGGAGGAAAGCCAACTGTAATGTACCGTCCTTTGGGGGTCTGTGAGCGGGCAAAGAGAGGGTATTTCCCCGTTGTCTCTGCTGGAAGTGTGAAATAAACGTAGTTGTTTGATGTTCATCAGCTCGCCAGCTGGATTACAATGCTAATCTACATTTGCTAGTTGTTCAGTTGTTCAATATGCTATACTATACTATGAACAACAGATAGTGGTTCATATTAGGCTATCAAGCACATGTTTACAATTGCAATCTTATATGGGTAGTCTGCTACATTCATTGTAGCTGGCATAAAAACAATGTTTTTCCGAGCAAACTCATGTTTAGCTCGGTAGCATACACGCTCGGAACGCCAGCTATAATGTAATTACGTTTCGCGACTGACCGTACGGTAAATCACCTGGAGTATACTGTCTGAGTATTTCGTGTGTGAATGCAGACATTCTCCTGCTATGAGATACATGTATGTAAGGCCATCTGCTGATATTAGAGTTGATATGGAAACGCTAGCAACTTAGTTAGCACTGGCTTAGCAGTCCGAAACACGTTTACACATTTAAACAGTCGTGGTAAATACCTTGTTTGATAAATACACAAATAACAATGCAAACTTACAGGTTGTGTACCCGAATCTTCCCCTGCTCCAAACGGTCCAAACAAACTAGGAATAGCATCGTCCTTCAGTTTCAAATGCTGTGCATATCCGGCCTCAAACTGGGCAATGTTTTGGAAGCTTTCGTCTGTGAAATGCCGCGCACACAGTAACGTTCTTCGAACCTCTGAAGGAACAGTGTTAAACAGAAATGTCAACCACTGACTGGTTCTTCCGTCGGTAGGACAAACAGCTCAGATTTCTCCTCACATTTCAGGAAACAGGTCCTTGGCAGTGGCATGACTGGATCGATTGTGAACTGAACCAGAGCTTCCAACAGTAAATGTTAGGCTGGCAGAGGGTGCGGCCAGCGCCGCTGGGTGTGGCCATAGCTCTTCGGGATTGGTCCATTTCGTTCCGGGTACCGCATGACATCATGCGGTACCCGGAAGACTCAAATGGACAATGACGTATCTCCAACGAGGCATTTGGGGAGGTATTTTCTGTGTTACAGGGTGTACTTTGAGGGTTTTGACTCTTCACACCGTTTACATGCATAAAAACCTTCATAACACACAAGGGGACGGGTAATAACCGGAAAAGCATGACATGGGCCCTTTAAAGTAAAAAAGTAAAGTTTCTGGATCCTTTTCAGCGGAGTTAGCTTGTAAGCTAATTTGCTAGCAGGCTGCTGGAGCAGCGCAACCGAACAGCGTGTATCACGTGACGTAAATATGAAGCGCTCCGTAGGCTAGACCGTCTCATTTCGTAGGCCGCTCGGTCCAGCCTACCCGGTCTACGTGGGCTGGGTCCTCCGTGGACCGCGTAGGCTGCGTACTCCGAAGGGTGCAACCCCTGAATTGAGACACGGCCCGTGAGTCTACAATATTGAACTTTTTCACAATATTCTAATTTTCTGAGATACTGATTTTAGGGTTTTCATTGGCTGTAAGCCGTAATCATCCACATTAAAACAAATAAAGCCTTGGAATATTTCACTTTTTGAATTGAATTAATGAAATAAATTAACTTTTCCACGATATTCGAATTTATTGAGATGCACCTGTACATCTTGGCTTTCACTTGTGTAACTAATGAAGAAAACAGATGTGTGATCAGAAGGATATGAAATAAATGCTCAAACTGCTTATCATAGTTCTCATACTACCCAAGCCAATGTTTTCTCTAACAGCCAAAAGAGACTTAAAAAAATCTAAAATGTGATAACTTCATTAAAGATGTGTGTGTGTGGTGCATCGTGTGTTTGCAGGCTGTACGAGCAGCTGGAGGAGGTGAAGCATCAGAAAGCCCTCCGGAACAGACAGGAGGCGTATGCAAAAAACAGACTGAAGGCCAAGGAGTTCCACAAGGTAAAGCACTTTAATTCTGAGTGTTTTCAAAAGACAATGTGATCCTAACAGAACTGCAAGCTCCAAAGTTTGTTTTTATTTGCCTGAATTCTGAGTAAAGTATTTTTCTACTATCTTTTCACAGAAAACCTTAGAGAAACTTCGTGCCAAGAAGACTCTGTGATGATTTTGAATGTATACTTAGTTCCATGGTGTAAATTTAAATTATTTTAAAAGTATTGTCAATAAAGCATTTTAAGTTATTTGAATCTCCTTTTTGCCATTGTGTTGTTAAATATTTAAGGAAATACAAGGTGGATGTTAAAAGAATCTGTCAACACTACCCTTCAGATGAGTTGAAAAAACATTCATGAAGTCAATTAGAGAATTACAAAACTGGCTGTTACTATTAAACAGCGAGGGACGATCTGACACATCATGACTTTCTAGTTGTTAAGTTTGAATAAAAAGAATAGTATCCCATTATCCAAATGCTGTTTCAAAGATTTTTACAGAAACAATAATGCAGAACTTTGGAAACGAAGGCCTCAAACTGTGGGTTTAATCCTCTGTCTCATTACACCGCCCTCTAATGGTCTGAGTGGATGCTGCTGGGAACACTCGAGGGTCCTCTGCCCACAGAAAGGCCACAGTGGAGGTGTGAAACGACAGCGTTCGGGTTATGAATAGTGTCTCCATGAGGTTTAGAGTTTAGAGAAAGCTATCGTCTTAGGACTCTTCTTCTCCATGGAGGCCTGAGCGGACTTCATCACATCTTCAGTCTGAAGCATGCTCATGTTCCAGTTGGCCTGGGAAAGAAAGAACAAAGTGTTTATTAAGATAAAGGCTGATCCATGGTCTGACTGGTGGAGTGATGTGAGAAAAATCCTCCAATAGTTTCTTATTTTTAAAGTCCGTGCTCTCACCATGTAGTCCAGCCCCTCGGCCACACTGTGGTCTCTGGAGTAGATGAGGTTGATCTTGGTGCCCTGCACAGCCACAGGGCTGCGGCCGGCGATCTCCCCCGCCATCTGCAGAGCTCCGGCCATCATCGCCTCCTTATCTGCAAACACTCGGCTGGAGGAAGCACGAGGGAAAGTGTTAAGACTGATTGCTTAACAAATAGGTCAAAGTTTCTCTTTGAAATTGAGGTGCTCTTGTTATTTTTGGCTTAAAAGTGTATATTAACAATAAGGTGGCTAAAACATTGAGAAAACCAATTATTTGTGCAGCTACTCTAGCCTATAGCCCCTATTGTTTTTAGATGCAGCAGCAGGGGTCTGTAATATAAAGTAGGTCTAATTCGGGGGGGGGGGGGGGGGGGTGGGGGGGGGGGGGGGGGTCTTAATAAGCTACAAGATTCAATAGATTAAAAAGTGGGACTTAGCCTGAACATTCCTGATTTCACACTGGAAACTAAAACGTCTCTGCATGTGATCCATACAAAGTCTGTTAGCTACTCGTCTAAAACATTTGTAAGTTAAAGGTTGATGCAGCTGATCACTTGTTGACCAGGAGAAAAGGTCAACACACATCAACACTGACCAAAAATGAAGTAAAAACAGCCTGACCTGATGACACCGGTGTGAAAGTGTATGGTCTGTAGAGAGTGCTTTACCTGACCAGGCCGCTGCTCTTGGCTTCATCAGCGAACATCTTCCTGGCAGTCAGAGCCAGCTCGTTCACCAGGCTGCAGGAACACAGAGATACATAGCATTTATATATAGAGAGAGCAGCATACATTTTTAAAAACAAACTGATTTAAATCAGACTGGGAAACATTTTCGTCACAGCAGCAGTTAAAACAAGGCATTGCACATAATGTGAAAAATAAGAGTAGGAAAAACTATAAACATCTCAAAATATTAAATAAAACGGAACTAAAAAAGGTAAATATAAACAAGTTGACTGTGAAAGACAAGAATCTGTAGAACGATAAACGAATAAACACTATGAAGGGCCAAATCACAGCTAGCAAAATGTAAAGGTTGGATATTATTTACATTGAGTGTGCACGGAATAGCATTTTATACTAGAAAATGCGTGCGAATGCTGTAAACTGTACATTTGTTGCTGAATTTAGCTGAAAATGCAGAAAAAGCTGAATATGTTATTAGCTGAATGGTCTCTGTAGCTGCTTTTAGCTACAGAAACCAGTGTGTTGCTGAACTTAGCGGAGAAATGCAGAAAAGTGAAATGATTTGAATCAAAATTGTTACAGCTCAAATGCATTGCAATGATTTTGTTGAAAACTTGAAAGTGAACTGTTAAACTGGAAGAGTAGGACAAATAGTGAAGAAGCTTAACCTCTTAAGCCCTGAGCCTGTTTTTCAGGTCTCAGGCTAGAAAATGACATGCCCAGAACAAATGACCATATCTTCACTTCTAAAAAGGGGTAAATTAATAATCTTTTTTCTCAAAGCAATGATAAACCTGTGAGTTGGATGTAGAAAAGTCAGAATCAATATAGATGTTTTTATTTTAAAGTAAATTCAGATTGAACATAGTAAAAAAATGTAAATTATAGTTTCCCTCCAAAAGAAAAACATTACTTATAGTGAAAACCACCCTTGAATGATGGGAAAGTAGACAAAAAGCTTTAGGAATCCAAACTATAACATATAAGTACCCTGTATCAAGATTGATGCAAAACAAGTGAAATGTGACCTTTTTAGAGAGATTTAGAAAAAAATTGGGTGTATTTGCCATATCTCTGGAACCCATTGGTTGATTTTTGAACCGTTAGAGCCAATGGAATCGAGGGTAGGTTCCTAAATCCACCTACACGTTACCATGGAGGAGTGAGAGTGATGCGCACGCAGTTTGCCCAAACCGAAAGCTACGTTACGCTCTGAAAACTAGGCTTATTGCATTAATATTATGGTGGATTATCAGTAATCATTTCAACGTGACACAGAGACATTGAATTAACCTTCAGCAGCGTTTTTATGCCATTGAACACAACTTTTGATCAGAAAACAGCAAAAGTAAGACATATTTGCCGTTTTGGGCCCGTAAAGCTAAGTTGTGTATTGTCTGGTTTTGCCTTAGTTGCCGCGGGTTTTGGTCGCACAGTGGTGATAGTTATACCATTGGAATCTGTGGAATCCCAGCTTTCAGATGATATCTTGTTTGCGCAGATCCGATGAAGTATAAAAGATCGCTAACGTGAGTTATGTGCTAAGTGCGTTAGCACTCTTTCGCTTAGTGCTAATTCAGAGGCTTGGCGTTAGACTTGTGTTTCGTTTCGGTAAAAATTGTTCATATCGTCAGTTAGCTGAGTTTCTTCCCGTTAAGTGGGTATGACAAATTAATAGGTTGTTAAATGTTAAGAAGCCCTGAGACACAGTTTCGTGAATATTGTTGTGTACCGGGGTTAACAGGTTAATATTTAAAAGAAAAGGTTTAAAAAAAGGTATAAACAACTAAATGTATAGCCTCAATGCCCTGAAAGAGCTCAATAATTTAATAGTTGAATGGTTTCTGTAGCTGAAAGCAGTGGCGTTTTTATATGTACAAAAGTGGTGGGGCACGAACAACTTAGATGTGTATATATAAGCTTCTGGTACTTTTTTAAACACGTAAACAAATAGCTGTAGGCTGTAGGGGGGGGGGGGTTAATCGCTATACGCTGCTCTCTCTCGTCTCCTCTTCACATCTACACTTTTCGCGGCACACGTACTTACAGCCAATCAGCTCTCTGAATTATGAGATGACGTTTGGTAGGTATGCCAGCACTTTGCCCCTATGGTGATTTTTTTTTTGCCGCACACATTGAATACAAAAAGACTCTGACCATGCGCAGTGTAGTTTTTACAGCACCCATTCATTTTAACAGCAGAGAGAGGGGTTTGGCTCAACACGGCTCAATAGGCACACTGTAGACACTAATTAGAAGAACGCAGGCTAAAACAGCAATGTACAGACGAATCAGATGACTAAACATGTATATATATTTTAACATATATTTTTTTGCATATTTTGGGAATTATTATTTGCATTACTTTCTGCTGACACTATGCTATGCTGTGCAGTAAATCTGCCACAAATGCCACATTGTTGACCCGAAAGTACACAAAAAGCAGACTCAGACGCTCCTCAGGGTCCTGATATGTTCCACGCGTTGACATTTTAGTGATAGCTGCTACCGTTTTCAACAAAAGTTAGAAATGTAAGAGGTTTATCTCATTCAGAACAATGGAAAGGCTCTCCTTTCACTGCACATCTCCATGGAAACCTTTGATCTCTGGGCTCACACACAGGTGTTTGATAACGTCGTCACCATGGTAACCTTTGATCTCTGGGCTTACACACACACACACAGGTGTTTGATAACGTTGTCAGCTCAAACACAAACACACAGACTGGAGTTTAAAGACTCTCACCCTATTATTTTCTGGAGACTTCATACTGACTTCAACACGTTCCACATATTTTATACATTATTGGTGACGTATGGTTTTAGTTAAAAAAATATTCTGCTGCTTTTCAAAGCGTTTTTACTTTCTTTTCTCTTCTTAATACACATTCATTCACTACTACTTACATCTGATATGTAACTCCTTCAGCCTACTTTCAGCTACAGAAACCATTCAACTATTAACTTATTCAGCTATTTCAGGACATCAAGGCTATACATGTTGTTGTTTATACCTTTTTTAAACCTTTTCTTTTAAATATTAAGCTTCTTCACTATTTTTCCTACTCTTCCAGTTTAACATTTCAAGTTTTCAACAAAGTCATTGCAATGCATTTGAGCTTTAACAATTTTGGTTCAAATCATTTCACTTTTCTGCATTTCTCCACTAAGTTCAGCATTCAACTAATAACATATTCAGCTTTTTCTGCATTTTCAGCTAAATTCAGCAACAAATGTACACAATTTACAGCATTCGCACGCATTTTCAGCAGGAAATGCATTTTCTAGTTAAATATAAGTGTACATTTTACAGTGTGAAGTTCTAAGTCCAGTTAACAAAAGAGGAGCTGTGGAGCAGTGAGCTCTGCAGCCAGAGGGGAGGAGTTATTGCAGTCTGCAGGAAGGACATTATAATGTTTGGAGTTTTTTATCAATTTTGTTTTTGCTACATATACATTTTACTGTATATATATATATCAGTGATTGCTCATCTTGTGTGTTTCCCCAGGCCATAGGTGTGCTGATCATCTACTGTAGGTCCCCATTTCCAAACCTCTGAACTAACCTTTAACACCATATCCTAACACTGATTTGTTGCGCACACTGATACTTTTTTTTAAATGGAACCCCCATACCCTACTGGTACCCCACACTTTAACCAAATCCTTATAATCACGTTTGTTGCACATGCATTTCTGCATATAGCTTGTGACTTTAACACATTTATTTAAATGTTGCTTTACCTGCGGCTGCCGATCACTTTAGGAAGTCTCTGGAGAGTTCCAACATCTGCAGCCAGGCCAATGTCCACCTCCTGTAGAGAGACTCTGTTAACATCGTGCATCGTATCAGTTGCTCTCAGAACATCGCCTGTCTCCTTCAGTACAACTAGGTCTCACTCTTTTAGTTTTTAGTATATAAATGAGCAGTTTATGCTTTAGGAATAGGAACTAAGTATACCCTGGTTTTTAGTTTTACATTCTTAGAAACTTTGTTTTAATGTCTGAATGAGGATGAACATGACTGACATTTGATATTTTATGACAAAAGCAGTAACATTTTACTAAAAACCTCATTAACTAATATTAATGTTGTGAGCTATACATCTAAAATATAGTGAAACAAGAATATAAAGCCGTTTCTTTTACCTTTATCCAGGTGATTACATTAGATAAACCATATTTAAATTTGACTCTATTTCTTTCACTAGCCTATTTTATTCATCAGCTCTGTTTCCCCATGTCTTTCTTTCAAATCATTTATCTGTTCTTTGTTTTCCCCCGAAGAACAATTTCCATTTTGTTGCCACATTTGTGAGGATGATAATGAGAAGGACGCACCTTGACCTGGAACCAGGCGTCCTGCGTGCACAGACGGATGTCACAGGCGGTGATCAGGTCCACACCTGCAGCAGAGCAGGAACACGCAGCAGCACACGCACCGTGAAGAGAAACGTTATATGAAGAAAGTACCATAAAATACCAGCTTGAGTAAAAATATAAAGAATAAACTATACAAGAACATTGGAGACAAAAAGGTAAAGAGACAGGTGTGATTCATATCAGCAGAGTCATTGTGTATGTACAGTACAGCAGGTTTATGGGATATTTATAATATAATGTTTATTAATGTTACTTGCTGTTTGTGTTAATATACAGAGATGTTATATCAGTAAATATAGAATATTCGATTTAATATATAGAAGAAGGTGAAAGGTAGTAAGAATATAGCACAATATATAGTATAGTTAAACAATGTAACATAAAATACTATCAAAATCATAAAGGTAGGCTTTGTGTGTTCATTTTATGGTAAAGTGGAGTTGCAATTGGTCTATGATCTGAGTTTATAGCTGCACAATAATAATAGTGATGTAATGATGATGATGATGACCTACCTCCCCCCACACACGCTCCGTGAATGGCCACCACAACAGGCTTTGGACACTACAATGAGAAAAAAAGGAAAAACAGACTGAAACATTTGAATGCTGCCCTTGACCTGTCAGCAGTATGGTCCTTAGTGTGAGGAACAGAAGCTCTCTGCTGACCTTCTCTATGACGCTGAACGTCTCTTGGTACTTGGTGATTATTTTTTTCATGTTCCACGACCTTCTGGCCATGTCGTCCCCCTCTGGTTGGAGGATGTCTCCGGCCATGTCCATCAGGTCGATTCCTGGACGGTCACACAGCACAGAATAAATATGGCTTACTGTGAAGACAGTGTCCTAAAGAACATCTGTCCCCCTGACACCCACCAGCTGTGAAGATCTTCCCAGCCCCTGAGACGAGCACCACCCTGCAGTCCGGGTCCGCTGCGATCTCATTGAAGCAGTCCACCATCTCACTGGAGGAGAAAGCCAAAGGCTCCATCAGTTATTAAGCGCTACAGAAACACTGTTGTGTGCATGCTTCAATAACGACTTCCAGTGGTCTACCTTTCAATATTAGAAAAATACTAGAGAATGCAATTCCTGAAGAAATTGCTAGTGGGAATGCTTTGTGCTGAAAAGCTGACGCTAAACTGCTATGCTGAAATGTAATGTGTAAGAAGAAAGTGAAGAATTTAGATTGAAATGATACATGAACCAGTGTTTCCCCTAGGATGGAGTCATAGCAGCACGTGGGCCCAGCATAATGTGAGCAGCGCCGGTACCGGTGCGCCGTCTCTCTCTCTCTCGCTCTCTCGCTCCCACGCTCGCACTTTGGCTGTGAGCTGCGGGCGCCTGATAAGCCAACATCCCCCACTTTCATCACTTACAGCGCCCATCGTACAGGGCAAATGAAAAGTGTAACCGGGGTGAAAAGGGTGTTACATTTACTTAATTATGAATGTTGTTACATCAAGGCCGAAAATTAGGATGAGCGCCAACGGTCAAAAATGTTTTTTCCCCTCCCAGAGCTACCAGTGCAGCGCCCCCCAGATCTGGCGCCCTAGGCGACCGCCTATGTCTCCTATGCCAAAAATCGGCCCTGCCTAGTACATACAGTGGCAATGTCTCAAGATGTAGCAAAAATACACCTTTATTGAACTTACAGTAACACAAATACTACAAATCCACATAACAAACAATCAAAAATGCAAAAGGGTCGCCACTTATTATTATTTTAATAAAAAAAAAAAAAGTTTAAATTCTTTTTTTTAATTTTTTTTTGGGTACCTAGCAGCGGCGCTGCGCCGCTACTATTTGTATATAGGGGAAACACTGTGAACACTGGGGGCTTGAATGTGTGATGAGTGAAGAAAATAAAGTAAAAAGGCTTGGAAAAGCAGCAGAATATTTGAACTGCAAACTTTTGAACTAACTTGATGGCGAATGATCTGTCGCCATGGCAACGGCATTTGATGACACCCCATAATACGCTTAGATGCGTTGATGGCTACATCGTTACCAAACCTGTGAAGTTTTGGGCCGTTTGGAACATTTTCACTGAAGTTATGAGAAAACCATGTTTCATGGCGAACATTGTGTTGCCATGGCAACGGCATTTGAAGAAACCCCATAATTGACGTAGAGCTGTTGAGGGCTGGACCGTTCGTATACAAGCGAAGTTTGGGGGACGATCGGACCGTTTCCATTGGACTTACAGCGACATCGTGCTTCATGGCGAGTGGTCTGTCGCCATGGCAACGGCATTTGAATAAATCTCAAAACTGTCTCGTAGATGTCTTCACGGCTGGACTGTTAGCACACATGTGAAGTTTGAGCAATTTTTTAACATTGTCATAGGAGTTATACATTACATTAGGAGGTTACACTACTCTCTCTTCTCTCTCTTCTCTCTCTCTTCTCTTGATCTTCGGCATATGATGATGACACCCCATAATTGACGTAGAGCTGTTGAGGGCAGGACCATTAACCTTTATCTGAAGTCTGCTGCTCTGAGCATGTCAGTTGGAGTGATGACATCATCGTGTTCCATTACACAGGTGTTTATAGTTGAGCTAACGAGCTCTGTAGAGATCAAAGGTTTGCATTGTTCTGAATGAGATAAACCTCTTACATGTGAACGTTTTGTGGACGAACGATAACAGATATCTGTGAAATTTCAAAACGTGAAGCATGTCAAGGAAGTTGAGTATCTGAAGTGTAATTTTTGTGTACTTTCGGGTTAATATTGTGGCCTTTTTGGCAGTTTAACTAAAGGTGTGCGGCTGCTGCTGTGAGGAAATATCAGCCTGAAATTACAATGGGTTTTAATGGAGACATGTTGAACGTTTTTGTCACTTCATGCCCTCAAGAGGCATTTTGTTTAATTATTTTTTTGCTTAATTATTTGTCATTTTTCAAGCTACGAGATGTTTTCCTACGTTTGTCATGAAAAATTATGTCTCAGGAATGTAGGGTTTGGGAATTATGGCAGTTTAAAAAAAATATATGAAGGCAAATTTCAAGATTTGCTCCACTCTAGCTGTGACATCACGTACTCTAGTTAATGTTAAAATCTAAAGAAAACCTCTTTAACAAGGTCTGAACAATGTTTAATATCTCTAAAAGTAAGAATCAGATTTAAAAGTTGTGTTACACGAATAATGTCAGAAAGATGTGTAACATTTTAAAGTTGGAATGAGGTTTCTGAGTGAAAGTATGAATGAACAGTTAGCAGTTGAAGTCTGAAGAATGTCTCCATTGACTTCAATGGTTAAAAATTTGATGAATTATGGGATGTATCTCTGGAATTATGAAAGTTATGAATGAGAAAAGTAATAGCCTGCGATTCCCGACCGAGTTGAACGTTTTGATGTTTGAACGGAGTTTCTGCGATGTTGAATGTGGGAGGAGAAGAGGGCCAAAATAAGTCGGCGGAATAATAATAAAAATGTTGTCCGTAGCATAACATATAGTTGGAATGCTGTATCAGCATTCCCACTAAACTATGTCTGGTTTGTTCTGGCAAAATGTTTTCTTAATTCTTCAGTTCTGCTTACAACCTTCTAAATTGAAATTAATTTTAGCATCAGTGCCACCATACAAGCTATTAAAAGCAACTTTACTGTGTAACCTTGTTCAAAATGAATTTTGATTAGGGATATTTTTTCATTAAACATTTAATATGTCAAAATGTATAGTTCATATGTTTATTTTGTATGTTTTCTTTGTCTTGGAAAAATTATTGCACACATATTGAAGCGTACCTCCAGAAGGCTCTGTTCATGGCGTTGCGTTTCTCCGGCCGGTGCAGCTCCACGTGTGTGACGGACTCCGCTGGGTGGCTGACGGCCAGGGCGGTGTATGGAGAGGGGGGGCCGCCTGAAGAGGACATGGCCCTGACCACAGCCGGACCGAGCCAGCTGCTCGGGTCTGAGAGAGGGGGGGGGGGGGGGGGAGCACAGAGAGGATTCAGAACCACCGAGCAGGAGCTCATATTAAGAGATGGTGGAAGCTAAATGGCTGCCATAGTAACTGCTCAGATAAGTAAAACATCAGAAATAAATGAAATGCTATTTTTTTTTTTCAGTCATTTTTTTCAACAAAAACTACTCATTACAGCTTTTTAAATACAAATGGCGATGAGGATGTAAGCCATACAAATCCAAAAACAAACCACTGCAGCGTTCCAGTTCTAGAACACTCATACTGGCCGTTCTCATTATATAATGACACAATGTTTGCCTACTGAATTGATTCACTTACATTGGATGCATTACGATCCTAATATATTTACTCACACAGACACCATATTTTTACCCAGAAATACCTTTTTAATTTTAAAGAGATTCCCAATCATTTACTTTCGCAAAAGTCATAAGGTCAGAGAGCAGAATCTGCTCGTTTTACATTAATAACTTTCACATCAATTCTTTGTAAAGTTTCAAGCTCATGGAGCCTCATTTCCACTGGTTTTGATACATTTAAATATGTCTATCAATTTGTTATGGTAGATAATCTGCTATTTTGTCATTCACAATGAAAGGTGGTGCACCGTTCCTTCCTGGAGTTCTTTGTTTGTAGCCTTTATTTAACCAGGTGAAAGCCCCTTGAGATCAAAAGATCTCTTTTTCAAGGGTGAACTGCAGCACATTGGTTACACATGTAACATAAAAACAACAGAACAACAATAAGGAACGACATACAACATAAATTACAGGGTACAGTTTACAAACTCTATTCACAGTGAATAGAGTTTTAAAATGATGCAGGGGAACCAAAGTGCTCAGTTTTAAATATTTTTGCAGACTGTTCCAAGTTAGTGGAGCTGCACAACTAAAAGCTTTCTTCCCTAAGACAGTCCTAGCACTTGGCACATTTAATAAAACCACATCATGAGATCTCAGGCAATAAGTACTTTCATATCGTCGAGAGATCAGAGAGCAGATATAAGAAGATAGTTTACCCAACATGGCTTTGTAGATGAACATGTACCAATGACTGAGCCTCCGTACAGTAAGTGAAGGCAGACCTGTCTTGGCATACAGGGTACAGTGATGTGTAAGTGCTTTACAGTTAGTAACACATCTCAGTGCGCTGTGATACGCGGCATCTAACTTGTTCAGGCAATGGGCAGGTGCATTCATATAGACCAGATCACCATAGTCCAGCACAGGTAAAAAGGTCACAGTGACTAGCCTTTTCCTGGCCTCAAGTGAGAAACAGGACTTGTTTCTGAAGAAGAAACCTAGTCTAACCCTCAGCAGATTATTGACCTGAAGTTTAAAAGAGAGACAATCATCAAGCCAGATACCAAGGTATTTATAACAGGTATCCACTTCGAGTACTTGTCCTTGCATAGTAACAATATCCAAAGCAGTCTCTGGAGTCTTTTTAGCTTTTGAAAAGAGCATTACCTTGGTTTTCTCAACATTTAAAAGAAGCTTAAGCTCAGCGAGCTGAGTCTGAATAATATTAAAAACAGCCAGTAATTTAACACCAGCCTCCTTAATGGAGGGACCTGCACAATAAATCACGGTATCATCCGCATTAAAATGTAAAGTAGCTTCATCCACATTTTCACCTAAACTGTTGATATATATGGAGAATAAAAGTGGACCTAAAACAGAACCTTGGGGAACACCATTAGCAATGTTTAACCACTCAGAAGTGAGCCCATCAAAGTGAACACATTGGGACCTTTCAGAGAGATAGTTCACAAACCACCCCACTGCATGGCTGGATATGCCAATACTGAGTAGCCTCTGCTTTAAGATGCGATGATCGACGGTGTCAAACGCAGGGCTCTCGACTAACTTTTTTCACCATCCTCCCGGAACCGTCCCGAAATACAATCTAAGCCGTCCTGAAATTAATGTGGACCGTCCCGAATTAAAAATATTAGCTTTTCTACATTATCATTAGTTAAAATCATTCAAAGTGACCTTTAACATAAATAAAACATCATACAAATCATTAGATGATAATTCATCAACCTTTTTATTTGAGTAAATCAGTCAAATATATTTGACTAAAGGCCAAATATATTTAAAAAAAACACACAAGCGAGAAAGTTACTCTAATATTGAATCCAATCAAGTCCCATCCGATTAACAAAAAAATCCAACACTCTGTCCTGAAGACAGAAGACAGAACCCAGAGTAACCACTAACCAGGACGACAGTCTGTAACACAGTCAGGAGACCTTTACAAACTGCACCGCCCCCTCGCACACAGACGGGGGAGAGAGCTCTCTCGTCTGGATTGGAAAGATCGAAAATAAGATCGAAAATACATCATAGACGCATTTTGTAGTCTTTTTGCATATTAGAAACGGAGTTGGCGAAACTAAAACTGCAATATAATGTTCATATAGCAATAATACATATGACATATAGGTTTTAAATGTCTCCAGTACCGATAAAAAGACCACTGTTGGTACCACTGTCTTTAATAATTCCGGCCGGGGTCCGTTTAATACCGGGGCTCGGTACCCATCCCTACATGGGGAGAGGCGCAGCATATTGCTAAGGACTAAATGCGATGGAGAGTTCTCATCTCAGCTGCAATGACATGTCTGGAAACCCCCTCTAGGGTGCCCCATGCATAGCGCGCCGTCAAAAGCTGCTTCATAAGTTAAGTTTCGTTTCTCCGCACCGCTCCGGGGTAAAAACATTGTAGTTACATCACAGCTGTGCGGCTGGCTGACAGCTGTAGCTACGTACTGTGTGTGTGTGTATTTCGCGGGTTGCTAAATGCTTTGTGTGTGTTTATGTTGACAAGGAGGTTTAATAACTGTGTTCTACACAAAACGTGCAGTCAGTTTCATTTTCATCGCCGTTCGTAGTAGAGTTAGCAGGGTATTTTTATTTTAACTCTTGTCCCAAATTCGTCCCAAAATTAATTTGTATCCTCCCCGACCCGATTTTTTTCGGCCCCAGGACGACGGGACGTCCTTAAGCTCGAGCCCTGGTCAAACGCTTTGGAAAGGTCAATAAATAGAGCTGCACAACTCTGCTTTTTATCTAAAATACTCGTAATGTCATTCACCACTTTCATTGTCGCAGTGATGGTGCTAGGTTTCTTTCTGAAACCTGACTGATATTTAGACAGGATATTATTTTTACATAAAAACTCCTTTACCTGTTCACTCACTAGGCGTTCGAGCACCTTAGCCAGAACTGACAATTTAGAGATTGGCCTATAGTTATTTAAAATAGTTGCCTCCCCTCCTTTTAGTAAAGGCAAGACATAAGCTGACTTCCATACTTTTGGAATTCCATTTGTGCTGAGGGAGAGGTTAAAAAGAGAAGTAAGAGGTGGAGCAATAAAATCTGCAGCTATCTTTAAAAATAAAGGTTCTACGTTGTCCGGGCCAGCCGGTTTCTTAGGATCTAACTTAGATACCTGCAATACCAGGTCGATACGTGGAGTGGACGGAGCAAGCCCCTATATTCCATCTCCCTATTCCAAAAATCAATGTAATATATGGTCCCCGGATAGGGGACGTATCAGATATTAAACTGATAAGAACAGATTTTTTTCTTTTGGGAAAAATGTATTGACACTTAATCCATGCACTTTTCATATTTACATCATTTTTTTTGTCAAACAAGTGTATTTTGAGCTATCCTACAATAAATAAATGTACACTGTAAGATTTTATTAAGACATCAAACGCATTTTCATAAAAACATCGCCTTTCATTCAAACATAACTACACTTGACCTTAGCCAAAAGGCCGAGAAGCGATGCCTTAGATTAGTTGGAAGCGAGACTCTGCACAGTCACCTTCACTCACGGTTTCAAAGTGGGTTTCAGTAACAGAATGACCCGATGTTATAGAAACAAAGTACATGGGTACACCAAACACAGCAGGTGAGAAAAGGGCAAGAACAGCAGCAGAATGTGTTATTTTAAGTAATGTCACTGGTTCCGTTTCAGATCCTTATAGTTGTTCTAGGCTCATGTTGTCTATAGTCATCAGTTACAGAGTTAAACATAAAGGATATATAGCCGAAGAGTTGAGCCATACAAACAACCTTGCCTGTTCCATGGAAACTAATGCCGGTGACCTTTCACCTACAGAGCCTTACATAGCTCTTAAAGCTCTTAAAGCTCTTAAAAGTTTTAAAGTGGGCAAATTATACTTATTTTAGACAATTAGTGCAGTCTAACTTACCTGTATAGATTTGAGCTGTCAGGTACAATATGACCTTTGACCAACATTAAAGTAAATGCTCATTAATATCATAACAAACAGCAGGCGAGCAGAAGAAAGCCTTGTCACTTACATTTGGAGAGAGCTGACCTGACAATCAGTGAACACATCGCCCTTTGAACGCTGCTCTGCTCAGTTATGGATAGAACTGCCCGGTGTGTGTGCCTTCACCTGCTCCACCTGAGTGTGTGTAGCTCAGAGTGCTGCTAAAAATGTTAGCATGTAGCTATACTGATGCCTGCTACTGCTAACTACGCATTAACGTCTGTGCGCTACTAAAGTTATCTGCACGCCAGCAAGTGTATAAAGAAGCGTGAACACATCACTGCTGTACACCGGAAGGGAATACAGCCCACACCAAGTGAGAATGTGAGGGGAACACCTCCTGTTAGCTTAGCTAGCTTAGTTTACTTCTTCTTCTTCTCTTCGTTTTTGGTGGATTGCAAACAACTTAAAAGGTGCATACCGCCACCTACTGTACATGAGTATGAATCATCATATCATACCAACTCTTTAACCTATGATCTAATCAAAATAAATAAATAAATCAACAAAAAACATGAAATAAATAAAACAAAAATAAAAATCTATGTTCTTTCCTGACCTAATGTTAAATTATTTTTCCTACCCCAGTTTCACTCAAGAATGTAAACAATGCCTTTCTGGTAGCTCTTACTCCCTCTCCTTTTGTTCCCAAAACACCAACCACACTCCATTCCCTCTCTGCCTCTAAAACTTTAGCCTTTAGGTTTTCTCTTTCCGCTTTATAGATGTCACAATGTAACAAGATATGTTCTACATCTTCTTTTACTCCACAGTTCCCACACTTGTCACTGTCACTTTTCCCCATGACATACAGCGTACCATTCAAAGCCGTGTGATTTATTCTGAGTCTAGTGATCGTGATTTCCTCCCTTCTGTTTCTTTCTTTATAAATATTAATTGTAATTGTCTTTTGCACTTTGTGATAGTCTTTGCCTTTCTGGTCTTTCTCCCACCTTTTCTGCCAGATCTCCATCCCTTTCTTCTTAATTATTGCTTTTCCTTCTCCTTTTCCAAGTTGAACTGGTAATGTGATTTCCTTTTGAAGTGCACTTTTTGCTCATTTATCAGCACACTCGTTCCCTTTCACCCCCTCATGTGCAGGCACCCAGCAGAACTGCAGATCTATGCCACCTCTGTGAAGTCTTAACAGGCTATGATTCAGTTCTATGAGAATGTCTTCTCTGACAGTTGTTGTTGATTGTATGCTTTGTAATATGGACAATGAATCTGTGCACATCACCACCCTATCTGGTCTGACCTCTTCAACCCACTGTAATCCTATTATCACAGCCAGCATTTCTGCTGTGTACACTGATAATTGATCAGACGCTCTTTTTGAAATCGATATTTTAAAGTCTGGGATGTATATACCAACTCCAACACACTCTTCCTTGTTCTTAGAACCCTCTGTCTACATTTGTAGGTAATTGTAGTACTTTTCGTTCAGATACATACTTGTTATAATTCCCACTTCATTTATTTGCCACTCTTTTTTCCTTTCTACAATACTCATATCTATGTTAGCTTCTGGGAAAAGCCATGGAGGAACACTGCTAAATGGGGTTGCTTTGGCAAACGTGACATTCTCCACTCCATATGCCCTCGTTCTCTCCTTACTCGTCCAGCCAAACCCACGTCCCTGGAACTTTGCATATTCCCTGCAATCCTGTAATATTCTGTTTGTAATATTTTCCTCTCCACTTCCTTGTAGCCTGACCCAGTATGACAGAGCAAGTTTCTCTCTTCTGATCTCCAGAGGTGTCTCTCCTGCTTCTATCAGAACTGCATTGATAGGGGATGACTTTATCGCTCCAATACACAACCGCAATGCTTTATATTGTATTCTATCCATTTTTAAAAGCAATGTTTTTGCTGCTGCTCCATACACTATACAACCATAGTCTATTGTGGACCTCATAATTGATCTGTAAATGTCTATTAATGCTTGTTTGTCTGCACCCCAGTTGCATCCAGCTACAGCTCACAATACATTTAATACTTTTTTGCATTTTGTTTCCACTTGATTAATATGCATTTTCCATGTATATTTGCTATCAAACCACAGTCCTAGGTATTTGAACTCATTCACCTTTGTCATTGGATGATCATATAGTGTTAGCTGTTGGCCATCAATCTTGCGTTTGTTTGTGAATACCATGTAGCATGACTTGCTTTCTGACATTTTGAATCCCCAGTTATATGACCACCTCTCCACTTTTTTAATCGCTCTACCTATATTCTCCATTACGTATGGGGCATGTCTTCCCCTCATCCAAATAGCCCCATCATCTGCGTATAGAGCCGATTGGATGCATGTGTCTAAGCATGTCAATATATCATTAATTATGATGTTAAATAATATTGGACTGACTGCACTCCCTTGGGGGATACCATTTTCTATTTCAAAATAATTGGAAATATCTGCTCCAACCTTTACTCTAAATGTCCTGTCTGTTAAAAAGGCCCTTACCCAATTGTACATTCTCCCTCCAATACCCATTATACTCAATTTGATCAGTAACCCATCCCTCCACATACAGTCATACGCCTTTTCAATGTCAAAGTACACTATTGCCATTATCTCTTTCATTTTCAATGTTTTTTCCACATCATTACTCACTCTTACTAAAGCATCTATTGTGGACCGCCCTTTACGAAATCCGCTCTGAAAACTACTCAGCAGCCCTTTCTGCTCCAGTACATGTGAGAGCCTACGGACAATGATCTTTCCCATCCATTTACATAGGTGTGATGTAAGAGCTATTGATCTGTAGTTACTAGGGTTAGCTGTATCTTTCCCTGGCTTATTGAATGGTAGCAGTGCTGCTGTTTTCCACAAACTTGGCATATCTCCTTCTCTCCAGATTGTATTGAAAAGACTCAGCACCATTGTCATAGTTTCCATAGGTAACTGTCTAAACATAGCATAACATAGCTGGTCTTGTCCTGGGGCTGTATATCCTGTACCTTGTAAGGCTATTTTGAGTTCTGACATTGTAAATTCCACATCAAGAGCTGACCTATTATCCTGTCTCTTCTCCTTCACGTTTTCATTCTCTGCTAGTAACTGCTGTTTTTGCTGCCTATGAATATCACTGAGATGCTCCCCGCTATGTACTGCTGCAAGTGTCCTTCCTAACATATCTGCCTTCTCTTTATCTGTCACTGCCAGCCTCTCCCCATCAACCAAAGCTGGAATTTTAATGGATTTCCTTTTCCCACTCATCCGCTTAAACATGGACCAGACATCACCTAATTGTACTCCTCTGCCAATGGTAGAACAAAATTCTCTCCATGTTCTTTTTTTTGTGTATTTGATTGTCCTTCGAGCAGCTGCCATTTTCCTTTGAAACTCGATAACATTATTTTGTGTCATGTTTTTCTTTAATTCTCTAAATGCATTGTTTCGCTCTTTAATAGCCCTGCTGCATTCCTCATTCCACCATGGCACCACTTTCTTCCTACCCTTGGTTGTTGTTTTGGGTATACTGTTCTCTGCTGCATTTAGTATATGTTGCGTTATTTGGCTTGTAATGACCTCTATGCTTCCCTCTGATGTTAGCAGGTGTACCGACTCCTCACACCATATCCTACATTTCCCCAATCAGCTTTAGCAAAGCACCACCTGGTTATTACACCTCCTTCCTGCATATATACATTATTATTCATTTTAGTAAGCACTGGATAATGGTCACTTCCTACTGTGGAGTTATTCAAAACAAACCATTCGCATGTATGAACCAAACAGTTTGACACTAATGTCAGATCCAGGCATGAGACTTTCCCCCTGTGTACATCTACTCTTGTGCCATGTCCATCATTAAGGCATACTAGTGTTCTTTCCTCCAGCATTTCTTCCACTATATTTTCGTTACTGTCTGTATGGTTGCTGCCCCATAGACTGCTGTGTGCATTGAAATCACCACACCAAACTTCCTTCCTATGTTTATTGCCTGCTATTTCTTTAAATATATCAGTGGTTAGATTTTTACATGGGTTGTATAAATTGATTATCCTAATGTTATCTTGTTTCCTAGGGTTGCAGATTTCCACTATAATACACTCTATATCATCAGGAGATTGCACCTCCCTATGCCACACCATCTTTGAGAAACGTGGCACACCCTCCACCATTTTGATTATTATCTCTATCTTGCCTTATACAGCTAAATCCTGGAATGACAAAGTCTAATTGAGGTCGTAAACCAGGTTTCTTGCACACATATTACCTCAGGGACTACCTCTAGATCATATATATATTTCTTGAATTCTTGACCATTAGCTATGAGGCTTCTTGCGTTCCACTGTAGTATGTGCAGCACCATGATTAAGGATCTAACCCTCATCCTGATTTTCATTTTCCCCAGCTCCATTTATAGTTAGCATTGCATGTATCTGATCTGCTTTCATATCTTTCATGTCAAGGAATTTTCCAGCTGCCTCCACAATGGCTTTGATTCTATCACTTTTCTTTTTTAACTGTAATGCAACATTTACAGTATGGCATATAAATACCACAAAATTCACCTTTTTCACTCCTAAAACATCATCATCCTCTTTACTCTTGGTGGCGCTGTGGGGTTGGATTTGAAGATTACTTTTTGGTGTGTTCCTGACATGTTGTATTGTAATGCTCTGCTCCATTCCACTAGGGGTCTTATTGATTGTTACTGTTCCCCTTACTTTCTTTATTGCTTCTGCGTATGAAACTTTGTTTGTAATCTTAACTCTCTGCACCTCTCTCTGCACTTCACAACCTCCAAACGCAGCACTGTGATCTCCTCCGCAGTTACAACATTTAACCTTTGCATCCTTTTCACATTTTCCATACTCATGTTGTCCTCCGCATCTCGCACACTTTAGCTGTCCTTTACACTGCTGCGCTGTGTGCCCCATTCGTTGACATGCGTAGCACCTGAGAGGTTTGGGGATGTACTCCCTAACCATGAAGTTCAAATATCCCATTTGTACTGCCTTAGGTAAGGTTCTCTCAAACTGAATGAGAACTGATAATGTTTCTGTGGTATCTTACCTTGTGTTATTATTACATGTTATTGCGTTTGTCCAGCAGGGGGCAAACTCACTCATGGTATTAAAAGAGCCTGTTGTACATGTTCCCACGAGGAAGTCCCGGAAGCATGTTACCAAAGTAAACCCAGTTAAATCTACTCTTATGTTGTGGACATACAATTATTGATCACAAGATACAACATATTATTGGCGACGAGGATTAAGAAGAGGATTAAGACAAGAATCAATACGGGATCAAAGAGGACATGCCGAACGGACTGGTTAGCACCTTACATGCAGGTTTGGGTCGTTAGCGGCAGCTAGCTCAAATTATTAGCATAGTCTGCGGGTGGAGGAGAGGATTCATTGACACACAATGGCAATGATTGGCACGCTGGCACCTTTTGATGCAAAAAATCAGAAGTGGGAAGAATACTGTGAAGTATTGGAACAGTTTTTTGAGGCTAATGAAATTGAAAATGGAGACAGACAAAGAGCCATATTAATAAGTGTTGTGGGATCATCAACATACAGCCTTATGAAAAACCTCCTCAGTCCGGATAAGCCCAAGGATAAGACTTACACACAACTTGTGGAGCTGCTAAAAAATCACTTTGACCCAAAGCCTAGTGAAATTGTGCAAAGGTACAAGTTTGACTCCCGCAACCGTGAGCCAAATGAGTCAGTAATGGAATACGTGGCTGAGTTGCGTCGGTTAGCGCAGGATTGCAACTATGGTAACACTTTGCAGCAGAGGTTGAGAGACAGGATCGTCTGTGGAATAAATGAAGATCGGATTCAGAGACGACTCTTATCAGAAGCGGATTTAACATTTGAAAAAGCATTGTCAATTGCTGTGGCGTCAGAGACTGCAAATAAAAATGCACAGGAGATACAAAGCCAAGGGGCCACAGCTAAATGCTTCAAAATGGATAAAAAGCCACAGGAGGCTTATGCACACAGAGAACCTACCAAAGAGTGTTACAGATGCAAGGGAACCAAGCATGAAGCAGCAGACTGTAGGTTTAAACAAGAGAAATGTCATGCATGTGGTAAAATAGGACACATTGCCAGAGCTTGTCGTAGTAGATCTACACAGAAGGGAAACAGCAACAAAAATGCAGACCCAAAGAGAGAAAGGAGGCAAACCACATATCACCGTTCTCATAAAGTACAAGAGCAACGGAGCCAAAGTGATAGCTCAGAAGAAGATACATTCTAACTGAATAAGATGAGGTTCAGATTGGGACGCATGAGTGAAGTGCACCTGAGACGAGTAGACCCATACATGGTTGAAGTGAAGCTGGATAGTAAGTTTGTTAACTTTGAGATAGACACTGGCTGTAGTCTCACAATAATGAATGAACAGACATTTCAGAGGACAATGGAAGGTCTCCTGCGAGGCATTCCTTTTGTGGCAGTGTATTTAGATGACATCCTGGTGAGCGGTGTGGATGAGGAAGACCATCTGCAGAACCTCGAGACAGTGTTGGCAAAGCTGGAGGAGGCAGGATTGCGTCTGAGAAGGAGCAAGTGCACTTTCCTGGAAGAGGAAGTGGAATATCTGGGACATCGAGTGGACGCACAGGGACTTCACCCTGTGGAAAAGAAAGTCAAAGCCATCATGGAGGCTCCCAACCCCACAAATGTTACTGAACTCAAGTCGTACTTAGGTTTGCTAAATTACTATAACAAATTTCTGCCAAACTTAGCTACACTATTGGCACCACGACATGAGCTCCTGCGACAAGATGTGCGATGGACATGGCAAAAGAAACAGGAAGAGGCTTTTAAAAAATCAAAGGCCCTGTTAAACTCAGCAGAAGTGTTGGTGCATTACTCTGCTGACCGAGAGTTAATTATGTCATGTGATGCGTCACCTTACGGGGTGGGCGCTGTTTTATCACACGTAATGGACGATGGAACTGAACGTCCTTTGGGGTTCATGTCGCGTACTCTAGCGCCTGCTGAAAAGAATTACTCACAGCTAGACAAAGAAGGCTTAGCAGTTATATTTGGAATCAAGAAATTCCACAAGTACTTGTATGGTCGAACTTTCACCATCTATACAGATCACAAGCCACTGATCTCTCTCTTCAACAAAAAGAAACCCATTCCACAGATGGGTTCCCCGAGAGTTCAGAGATGGGCAGTGCACCTGAGTGCCTATGAGTATCACATTGTGTACAAACCAGGAAAGAACAACGCTAATGCGGACGCATTAAGCAGACTGCCGCTGTCGGAAGATGTGCGAGAGAGTGAGACCGCAGAACAAGTGCTCATGATTGATCTTCTGGATGACACACTCGTGGACACAGCCAAAATAAAACACTGGACAGCTAAGGATGTAATATTGTCTCAAGTTCATGGTTATGTCCTGTCGGGATGGCCTTCAGTGACTGAGACTCCTCTCAAGCCGTATCATCAGAGGAGAGAGGAACTGAGTGTGAGGGATGGCTGCGTGCTCTGGGGAGCCAGAGTCATCGTACCAAACAAAGGCAGGGAAAAGATATTGAAAGTACTGCACCAAACACATTCCGGCATGTCAAAGATGAAAGGTCTGGCTAGATCTTATGTATGGTGGCCGGGGATGGACCAGGATGTAGAAAAGGAAGTGCAGTCTTGTGAGGAGTGCCAAAAGCACCACAAGTCACCACCATCAGCACCATTGCATCCCTGGGAGTGGCCGGAGTCTCCCTGGACGAGAATTCATGTGGACTATGCAGGCCCTTTCCTGGGAGAGATGTTTCTACTGATAGTGGATGCTCACTCAAAATGGATGGATATTTATCCAGTGAAGTCAGCTACATCACAGGTGACCATTGAAAAGCTGCGTCAGAGTTTCAGTGTTTTTGGACTGCCAAAAATGTTGGTGTCAGACAACGGAACCTGTTTTACAAGTGCTGAATTTGAGACTTTCATGAAACAAAATGGCATCCGCCATGTGAGGTCAGCACCGTTTCACCCGTCTTCTAATGGGCTGGCAGAGAGGGCGGTCCAGACCTTCAAAGGGGGGATGAAAAAGATGAAAGGTGAAACATTGCAAACTAGACTGTCAAGGTTTCTGTTCAGTTACCGCATCACACCTCACGCGACCACAGGCCTGTCGCCTGCAGAGTTGATGATGTCAAGGAGACTCAGATCTGCATTAGACCTGCTCCTGCCAGATGTGAAAACAAGAGTGCAGCAAAAACAACTAAAACAGAAACAGTCCCATGACACAAACAGGAAACTGAGAAGTTTCTCACCTGGGGATAAAGTGTTCATCAGAAACTACTCTTATGGACCTAAATGGATCGCTGCGGTCATCGAGAGCTCATCAGGTCCAGTGTCATATACAGTGATCATTGGAAGTGGTCAAGTCGTGAAGCGGCATGTGGATCAAGTAAGAGCCAGATTAACAGACACCGTGCCCTTAGAGCCGGTGCTGGACTCCAACAGAGACACTGTGGTTCCAGTGACAATCGAGCAAGAAGGACCTCCTGCAAGTGAGCCAGTGGTTCTGTGTACTCCGGGCCCGCCGGACTTGCCTGCTACACCCGTGGTGAGACGATCAGAGCGCGAGAGACAGCCACCTGTATACCTGAAAGACTTTGTTAAATAGATCAAGAGATGTTCCATTAATAGAGCAGCATAGTTCTCTGATCTCACTTTAAGGAAAGGTTTAGAATGTTAATCTTTGAAAGTGAAATGGTTCATGCCAGTACCTCGAAATGTTGTGTAACGGGAGTATGTTATACTCCCACCTTCGGGAAGTATTGTTAGCTTAAAGGGGGGGAAATGTGGTATCTTACCTTGTGTTATTATTACATGTTATTGTGTTTGTCCAGCAGGGGGCAAACTCACTCTTGGTATTAAAAGAGCCTGTTGTACATGTTCCCACGAGGAAGTCCCGGAAGCATGTTACCAAAGTAAACCCAGTTAAATCTACTCTTATGTTGTGGACATACAATTATTGATCACAAGATACAACAGTTTCTTTGAGTGTACCATAGCTTAGTTTAGCCAGAGATACTCCGCTTTCTACAGACAGATACGGTGGCCGAAGACGCTCAATCTCTTCTTCTTCTTTGGGATTATTGGCAGATCGCAACTACCTGGGTTGCATTCGAATAGTCCATTTAGCTTAGGAACCTTCCTAACGGAGTGAAATGACCCGGAAGTCCCTCAGTGGCAGCCATGATAAGTGCCGTTCGAATTCTCTAAATTAAAAGGAAAGGAGGTTTCAAACTTCCTTTATAACCTCCTTTAGCCTAGGAACCACTGGACCTCCCTAACCGAAAGGAGAGGAGAAAATGCTGCCCCACAATGCCTTGCGGCCGCAGCATTTGCCGTCACACAACAGTCGGCCGTTCACGGAAACAACCGATTATGAACGAGAAATGATATCATGAAAGTTACGGTGCTTATTAAGCATTTTAAAACGTATGTGGTAAGTTGCCAAAGTGCTTTGTTTTGAACGTTCATCAGTATTATAATCAAAAAGAGAAATATGAACGTTAGTTTTTACTGAAATGATCAAATAAAGTCAACATTTCACAGTCTTTACTGAGCTGTGTGGGGTTTGTTCAACTTTTAAAAGATGTTTGAATGGTGATATACACAGTGATAGATGTTAAGGACTAACGTTTATAATAAATACATTTGTATTGATTTTAAGATCTTTTCATACAATCATACGTATTGGGATCATTTGTATTAATGTGGACCGGAGGGAGAGGGTGACGAGCATCAGTTTCACTTTCCTTTTTTATTTCAATTCCAACTTTGGTCATGAAGAATATGTTTCTCTGTTGTCCCCGTTCATAAAGCATAAAACAACAGCATCAGAGCACGGTGCAGAGTCTCTAGATGAGTTTACAGTAGTCCCTCGTTCTTATTAAACATCCATGTTGTAGTCCGCTGTATAGAAAACTGTAGTTTCCATAGTTTCCCCACAGCAGCAGGCGCACATTTATGACCTCTGCTGGCGCATCATAAACACGTCGGATAGTGAAAGTGCAGTCGATTCTCTAAAGTGCCGCAGTCTCTTCTCCTAAATCCTTTTGAATTCTCCTATCCACTATCCCTTAACCCCATGACGTTTCACTCAGAGGTCAAGGGATAGACGATAGGGTTAGAACTTAGGAGCTGTTTTTTTGGAGTATTCGACCGCAACCCTACTTTCAAGACCGCAGACTACTGTATGTAAACGTTAAGAATTATGGCATAAGAAAGAAAGAAAGAAACCAACAAACAAAGAAACAGTCATGTGCTCAATAGTGCGTTTCAGCTTCTTCTTACTGACAGCTTTAGCAGGAACTCCACTTGCACGTTTTTATATACATCATTCTTAATCTTCAGAGATCCTTTTCTGTCAATATGTGATTTAAAAATGCAATTATTGCATATATTTGAGTATGATCTTTAACACTATTAAATGTTATTTGTTACTGACAGTTCTTATTTTCTTTTAGGAGCTGTAAGGATGGATCTGGGAGAGACGGCAGTGAGTGCAGGAGGTTACTAAGTACATGCCACAGGCAAGGGCCCTTTCTCATGTCATCAAATGTCCCATCCTCGACTCCTCGACTCCTCGGTCCTCCGGTAGTGACCCGGAAATGAATTTTAGCGCGCCATGTTGAAGGACATCTCATTTCTCGAAATGCACATCGAGGACCGAGCATCGAGCGTCGAGGAGGCTCTCTGGAGGAGCTATAACCGAGGATACACTGATGGGTCCTCCACAGTCCTCCACGGCTCCTTCGTGGATGCATTTCCGGCAACAGTGATGTTTCAAAGAGTCGAGACGCACGGCCGGACTTATCTCAGCCAATGACAGCTCTGCATGCATCCCCTGGATATTATTTTATTAACTGCTTTCATCGCGACGCGATGTTTACAGTGAGAACAGCTGTGAGGTCCGTGCAGAAAGCAGAGCAGTGTGTATAATATATATCATATCACTCAGTATAACAGGCCTACTCTCTTTATTTGCTTTAGTTTAGTAGATATCTACAAACAAAGTCGATATTTTTCTAAAACCATTTAGTGCTTCACATAATAAAATACACAACGGCTGTAGCCTGATGATATGCTTTAGGAGCTGTAGGTGCGTGTGTGTGGTGTAGGTGTGTGTGGTACAGTGTGTGCGTAGATGCAGCGGACAGACAGGTCTCAGTTGGTTTGGTAACCTCTGCTTACTTGTAATACTTGTAAATAAAACTTTTGGTCCGTCATTTATTTCCCTCATTGTAGCGACCAGAGAGGGGGGGGGGATATATCCAGTCTCCAGATAGTTTTACGTTATTATGAGAGTGCTCTGTTTGATTCTGAAATTGTATATATTTATATAAATATATACATATATGTGTGTGTGTGTGTGTGTGTGTGTGTGTGTGTGTGTGTGTGTGTGTGTGTGTGTGTGTGTGTGTGTGTGTGTGTGTGTGTGTGTGTGTGTGTGTGTCTGTGTGTCTGTGTGTATGTCCGCATCTGTAGCCTGTTATTGTCTCATTATACCGCACTGTGAATGAATTAAAAGTAAATATATAAGTCGTCATGAACACATCTGTCCATCAGACAGAGGGCTGTGCCTCCTGTCATCATTAATGGACGTCTCTTTAAAATGACCGCTCAGAGGAGATGAGTTCTCATTTCTCTAACCGCCTGCTGCTTCCCCTCCTCTCTCCTCGGTTCCCCTCCTCGGCTCCTCCGCTCGCATCTCCTGTGGGCGGGACTAATGCCCCTTTCACACCAACGCAACTCCGGTTCAAGCTCCGTGCTAGAGCTTTTCTGGTTCAGAACCGGTTCTTCGGTTTAGCGCCGGCTCTTTTCACACCGCTCAGAGCCCGACTGGTGCTGCCGCTGCTGCGTCATGACGTCACAGTTTACGTCGCTGAGTTTCTCCCCAACGCCGGAGCTCACCTCACAACAACGGGCCGGGGACTGCGTTGCTTTTAATCATACGAAGCCAGATTAAATTAAATAACGACTTCTCCAACCTTATACTTTTCTCCAGAGTGCCGTGGTTCATTGTTTATTAATGTGTTTCAGCGGCATTTACCGACCGCTGCAGTGCTGGCCGGCTGCTCTTCAACGGGAGTGTATTCTCCCGTTAGCTCCGGGTTAGCTCACACGGCTCTAAAGTATTCATTGTCTGACTGTCACACAAGCAGCTGATACATATCCCCAGTTCCCCTTAAGTGAATGTGTGTCAGTCTGAATTGACGCTGTTTGGTGTCAGTCTGAATTGACGCTGTTTGGCATCACAACGCTGTTATGAAAGTTTCTCTGGTATAACATGGGTGATGTTAGCATAGCAACCGAAGCTAAACTGACTACTTGCTAAGCAGTTTTCTACAGGCACTTTTTACCGACGTATTTTTCATTATGATTCTACTTGTGATAGTCGGACATGACAACCTGTGCAGCCCATGTATTGATTCCATCCGATAGCTGCTATAATAACAAACAAAACGTCTGCCTGCTCTCCACAATGATCAATAACAGCGAACGGATGGTCAAAGTAAACAGAATCACACGAAGCCTGGTTAGTGTTGCCTGACTTTATAAAGTGTGTTTTTTTTAACAAGTGTGTGGTTGCGTTCTAGTCACTTTGCTCAGCACTACTGCTTGTTACAACTTGTATTTTGCCGTACTCGCCTTAAGTGTTAGCTCAGGTTAATCTCGCCCCCCTCCGACGTAAGCGTGACGTATGCGGTTCTTGCTTCTAGACGGACAACTTTTTGGTGCTCGAAACGAACCGGATTCCGGAGCTATGACGCTGCTCCGCTGCGGTGTGAACAGGAAAACCCGGTGCTTTTCAAGCACCAGCACCGAACCGGCCCTGAAACACCGTTGGTGTGAAAGGGGTATAGTCTCGAGGATAGGAGTCGAGGAGGGGAGTCGAGGAGGAACATTTGAAGACATGAGAAAGGGCCAAGGAGTCAGTATGTTATTCCCAGACTCTCAGTAGAACACAGAAATAGACTTACAAATAGACAGCAAATATGAACAAAGGTTACACTTGTTTAATTACTGAAGAAGAAGAAGAACCTTTATTGTACATGCTGGACAAGGTTAACATAATTGACTATAATGTAGAAAGGACCACTTTGTAGCCTACAGATATAGATTCACTACTATCCACAGTTATGAATAGTTTATACCTTAAATAACACTACATGGGTTGAAAGTTACCCAAATTAGTTTTAATTGTAAATATCTTTGCAACAAATAACATTCATCATTCAGAATTCCAGGTATTCCTGAAATAACTTGTTTTTGATCACAGTCTGGTCCCTTTCTTACTTTTTCAATAAAAAATCTTTTTTGTATCACTGACCCGTATTATTTATTCCAGGCATGGCTGAGTGTTGTTTTTTCTATATGTTTTCAAATCGATTTATTTAGTTATTAATATTCAAAGTATTCATTAAATATCATGTTTTTTTAAATTTAAAATAAAATAGTTTTTGTATTACATCAGGTTTACACACATGGGTCATTTTTTATCAAGTGTGATGATAAAATAAAAGACATACTAATCATTTTGTTAAAAATGATTATTTGAACAGTGATTTGGACCAAGCATTCACTATGGATTTTGATAGGAACCATTGATTTGTGTTTGCAGTGAACACGTTTACTGTGGACAACTTTACACATGCCTCACAACTCAACAGGCTTTTGCTAATCTGATTCATGTACGTCTTATTTTACAATTCTTTTACCTAAGAAAATATATGATATTTTATGAAAGATAACTGTACATAATATTTCAAGGTTCAAGGCTTTTAATGGTCATACGTACATAGCTGCAGTGTAGTTATGACGATGAAAATCTTAGGTCACAGGCTCCTCCAACAGTGCAACACAATAAAGCAGAAAAAATAGTGCAAGTCAATAAAATAGTGAAATAGTGCAATAAGAGTCTACAAGTGATTGGAATATGATATATTAGATAAATAATTTGTAAGTTGCAGCCAAATGAATGTTATGGATGTTGTTTCAAAGTTCAGGGGCCTCATTCATAACGCCTTGCGTAGGATTGACGTAGGAAGGTTGCTTACGTAGTACAAAGCACAAAAATAGGTACATACATTTTCCGTCATTTTCCGATTCACAAAACATTGCGTACCGGCGAGGGAAGTGCGTACGGCACTCCCTACGCCTGTTTCCCTTTATAAATCACAATCGACTCGTAACGCCCATATTTGCCTATACATAGTCAAAGAAACGCCCATTCATTCATTCATTCTGACTGACTGCATGAAGAAGATCGCAGGAAATGACGATAGAACAGCTAAAAAAGACATCTCACACCGTGTCAGATTTAGGTTATTGTGGGGAGGTCGAGATAAATCATATTGTTTGGTGGATGCAGTTTGAACCAGAGTAGCAGCATGGAGGTCGGATCGTCACCAAAATAAATAAATAAGTGGTCCGAAAAAAGTTAATGACAAAAAAAATACACATAACCTTCCTTAGGCAGTGTGTTTGTCCCGGGGACAGGAGACCCCCCCTTGATGAGAAACTGTAAGAAATGATCGGGGAATCCCTCCGGAGTGGAGTCATGACGACTGGATCTGAATTATTTTTGTTGTATTTGGTGGTTTGTGTTCCAGCTGTCGATCAGCAACTATATATCCATAATCCACCAGTTAAAGGAAATACAACTAATGGATTGTGTTATATTAGCTGTACAATTGACCACATATGGTGTTCTTAGTTTCCATACCTCCTGTGTTTTACGAGCTACTTATCAAGTCTTGGCAAACGGCATAAAACACGATTAAACGTGATAGTATATAAAACCATGCTCGTATCTACAACCTATAGAAATGCAAAACGGCGTCAGTTTAGACGTAATTCTGTCCCCCTGCTTACCGCATCATTTATGAGAAAACATTTCATAACATTAACACAACATATTCGAGGTGGTTTTAAATAGCATATCCGTATTTATTTATTTCTCCAAGTTATGTTTTTGTGTGCACTGAGGAGTTTCAAACAGGCGTTTGTTTAATCATTTAAAGATTGGCTTTAATCAATGTTTGAAAATGAATTCTTCATATTTGATAAATGAGAGGTAACATTTTATTTATGGTATTATTTCCACATATTTCTCTCCATTCTTCCTTCTGCCAACGGTGTCGCAGTTTCTCGTCTCTCCCGTTTGTGTGCTTAGTGCGTACGCATGGGTTAGAGTTTGCGTGGAGGACAGCACATTTTCCCGTCAAGTTAGTATTTTATAAATCGCAAACATTGCGTAGAAACTGGCGTACGCCATTTTTTGAGCGTATATCCCTTTATAAATGAGGCCCCAGGTCTTTAACAGTCTTATGGCCTGTGGGATGAAACTGTCCCAGAGTCTGGTGGTTTTACATTACTTGACATCCATTGTGGAGGTGGTTGCAGACAGGAGTCCTCACTGTGGAGGTGGTGGGAGACAGGGAGACAGGAGTGCTCACTGTGGAGGTGATGGGAGACAGGGAGACAGGAGTCCTCACTGTGGAGGTGGTGGGAGACAGGGAGACAGGAGTGCTCACTGTGGAGGTGGTGGGAGACAGGAGTCCTCACTGTGGAGGTGGTGGGAGACAGGAGTCCTCACTGTGGAGGTGGTGGGAGACAGGAGTCCTCTGGACACTGTGGAGGAGAGGAGGTGGTGGGAGACAGGAGTCCTCTGGACACTGTGGAGGTGGTGGGAGACAGGAGTCCTCTGGACACTGTGGAGGTGGTGGGAGACAGTAGTCCTCACTGTGGAGGTGGTGGGAGAGAGGAGTCCTCACTGTGGAGGTGGTGGGAGAGAGGAGTCCTCACTGTGGAGGTGGTGGGAGAGAGGAGTCCTCACTGTGGAAGTGGTGGGAGAGAGGAGTCCTCACTGTGGAAGTGGTGGGAGACAGGAGTCCTCACTGTGGAGGTGGTGGGAGACAGGAGTCCTCACTGTGGAGGTGGTGGGAGACAGGAGTCCTCACTGTGGAGGTGGTGGGAGACAGTAGTCCTCACTGTGGAGGTGGTGGGAGAGAAGAGTCCTCACTGTGGAGGTGGTGGGAGACAGTAGTCCTCACTGTGGAGGTGGTGGGAGACAGGAGTCCTCACTGTGGAGGTGGTGGGAGACAGTAGTCCTCACTGTGGAGGTGGTGGGAGACAGTAGTCCTCACTGTGGAGGTGGTGGGAGAGAAGAGTCCTCACTGTGGAGGTGGTGGGAGACAGTAGTCCTCACTGTGGAGGTGGTGGGAGACAGGAGTCCTCACTGTGGAGGTGGTGGGAGACAGGAGTCCTCACTGTGGAGGTGGTGGGAGACAGTAGTCCTCACTGTGGAGGTGGTGGGAGAGAAGAGTCCTCACTGTGGAGGTGGTGGGAGACAGTAGTCCTCACTGTGGAGGTGGTGGGAGACAGGAGTCCTCACTGTGGAGGTGGTGGGAGACAGTAGTCCTCACTGTGGAGGTGGTGGGAGACAGTAGTCCTCACTGTGGAGGTGGTGGGAGAGAAGAGTCCTCACTGTGGAGGTGGTGGGAGACAGTAGTCCTCACTGTGGAGGTGGTGGGAGACAGTAGTCCTCACTGTGGAAGTGGTGGGAGACAGGAGTCCTCACTGTGGAGGTGGTGGGAGAGAGTAGTCCTCACTGTGGAAGTGGTGGGAGAGAGGAGTCCTCACTGTGGAAGTGGTGGGAGACAGGAGTCCTCACTGTGGAGGTGGTGGGAGAGAGGAGTCCTCACTGTGGAAGTGGTGGGAGAGAGGAGTCCTCACTGTGGAGGTGGTGGGAGACAGGAGTCCTCTGGACACTGTGGATGTGGTAGGAGACAGGAGAATGGCAGCCAAGCTGTCCTCCCTGCTGGACAATGTGTCCCACCCCCTCCAGGACACCCTGTCCTCACTGTGCAGCTCCTCCAGTGACAGGCTGCTGCACTCCTTCCTTCCTGCAGCAGTCAGGCTGTAGACCCACCACGGCCCCTGGTAGACCCTCACACAACAAGACTGCCTTACCTTACATAGTGGGGTTGAGTAGCTGCTTAACACCCCTATTCGCATCATTTGTTTTGCCTTGTATGTGTACTTACCAACTTGTCTTTTTTATATTCTATAACTCGTGTGCTTTCCTTCTATATAGTATTAGCTTATTCTGTATTATTGCATACCACTTTGCTGTAACAATGTTCATTTCCCCGCTGTGGGACTAAGGGATTCCTGATTCTGACGAAATGGCAATATATGGAGAGTTGCAGTGGTTAAACCATCATATCTGGATTCAATATCTCACACTTCACATACGAGTCTATGTGACAGTCTGGTTCTAATGATTTGTCACTATATGCATACACTGCATAGCTTTTATAATGAGTATGTAGTATGCATTTAAGACTTATTTGGTCTTGATATATCTACATTTATTGCTATGGCCCGAGATAAACAGTCACTGCAGATATGTAGACTTCATTTGACAGAAGACACACTTTCAAAAAGGATGGCAGAATAAACGCAACTTAAATTGTTTTTTTATTTTCTTAGAACAAAACAATTATCCATCTGCATATCAGACACAGAGACGCAGAACTGAATAGGTAAAATCAAAACAAAGCAAAAAAGTGAATAATAAAAGTTTCAAAAGACAACTCTAACAAAACTTTGTTATCTACTGCCACTGAACCAGCTGAAAATAAAACCAAGTCTTTCAAATGTGTTTATGTTATGTTACTGTATAAGCATAATACAAAAAGTAAAAAGGACAACATATTATTGAAGACACGCAGGTACCAACACTCTACAACACGTGGGGGATAAATATCAAAACTTTTCAATGATCGTTAGCATTTGTTAGATCTGTCTAATATACCAAATAGGAGTTTTACTTTAAGGATCAATTACAATGTGAACATTTTTCACAGCATTTGAAAATCTAATTTCTCTACGAGTGTTGCAAGCAGTCATGGTCTAAGTACATGTGAACATGGGAATGGAGGGCCAATCTTCATTATACCAGCTGTTCCTAGTTGGCGTGCTGAACGGTGGAGAAGCACAGTTTCAGGGTGTACGGGTAAGGACCAGCTGGAAAAAAAGAAACAAGAGACATTACACAAAAACATGACCTGAGAGAGGACTTGGTCTTCAGACTAACACCTATCAGTGGTGTTTCCATGACAACATCAAGCTGCCCTCGTCCAAGTTACTGTCAGTCACTTTTATAAAAAAAAAAAAAAAAAAAGGTACCCGAAACAACTTCTGGGATTTATTTTATTTAAGTTCTTTGACTGAATCCTGCTCAGTCAGGGTTGAGACCTCCTACATTCTCAGGGGCTTTTCCTTACCTGCATTTTTCATCTGGAAGTGGTTTATCAATGCCAGAGCCTCCATGGCATCATTGATGGACTCCCACTCTAGCAGCCCTGAAGCACTGCGGTCACTGGGAGCTGCTCCACCTGAGGGTCAGAGGTCACTTTAACGACAGGAACATTTCTATGTGCAGAGAACAGTGCATCTCAACATTCAATGTTTGTCTACGTCCAGCCTGGCTGGAAAAATGTTTCAGACAGTTTTCTTCCCATGTCTATTGAGGGCTTCCAGAGTTTTGTATACATAGTCAGCGAGTTAAAAAGTGAACAAAAATAAAGCATGAGCAGAATCAAAGCAGTTTACTCTTTCCTGTGAACATTTTGACGTTGACGGGAATCTTCACACCAAGCTCCTCACAAATCTGCAAAGAATAAACTCTTATTAGGGAATTACATGCTTGTATTCTGACAGTCTCAGCTTGAAACCATTATTTATAGTACATGAAAAAATACTTTTAAAATTCCAGTTCAACCAAATACAAATCAGCAGTGATGAAGAATGTTGCCTGTTCTTTAATCAAGAGTCAATGTACATTTAAAAACTGGTATGAACCAGGCCTCTTCTACAGACCTGAGTGAAGATCTCCGGCGTGACGTCTGGCTGAGCGTTGAAGAAGTGCAGCACGTTGCTCGGGTGCTGGATGCGGTTTTTGGCCGCCTGCTCCGGCGAGGTGAAGCGGTTGTTCCTGGAGCCGTGAAAGTCTTTGAAGCTGCTCGAGCTGTCCTCCAGCTCATAGCACTGACCGGGGACGATGGCCTGTTGCTTGGACACACTACAGGGAAGGAAAAGTCACATTTTAAATACAAGAGACACCAGGAGAAGCTGCATTTTGTCTTCGTGAGTCATCACTACACTATATCTTCCTCAAGCCGTTTGTCTGGCCTAACACCTACATTAGCACTTGTGTCCCGATAGCATGAAGCTTCAGAGGTTAAAATATTCTTGAGGCAGGGCTCTCTTCTTCTGGACTACAAATATGTATCCAGAATATAGGTTAGAACTGACAGGATGAACTCACCACACATTGAGCCTCTGTCCAAACAGGAAGTTGTTGTTGAGGTGAGTGATGGAGCGGTCCACTGCATAGCAGTCTCCCATCTCCACCATGGCAGCGCCAGGCTTACTCTTCATGAACTTCACCTGCAGAGACAAACAGAAAAGATGAACCAGTGCGCTTCACCTCTGGGTCATTTTTGGATTTGAAATGTATCAACCTGTAAAAAGAATGTAAGCCAAAATACGGACACTCAGTCCCCTGAGGACAAAATTGTCTCAATGGAAAAAAAACTAAGAAAGTAAAAATGTTGATCATACAGCCTTTACAGCATAAAATCATGCATTTTATTATACCTCGCTTACAATCTAAAGCCCTGGCTGGCTTGTTTTGACTTTTTTCCCCCACTAGAATCAGCATTCTCATATTTGCCCATTAGACAAAAAGCAGGCCACATTCCTGTGCATTGCTGCTCTGTCCTAAAAAAGGGACAAGTTATGTTTTTCAAATGGTCATCAAATTATACATTAAAACATTTGTTTTATTCTCCTATCGTCTTGTTTAGCAGATTGCCGAGTCAGCAGGGCGTGATCTGTTTCGCACTAAACTAACTCAGTGAAGAGGAGGAAAGAACAGATCTGTTCCGACAAGAGACATTATCACTGCTTACAACGTACTGCTACCACCAAACAATGGTGGCATAGTTCAAAGTGAATATCCAATCATATTTATGATTGAGATGCCAATGTTTAAAAAAACTGGAATAATGTTAAACCACATGCACATCAGAGTAACTCCCTTATAGTGACACTCAGGGGTTAACTAGGATTAGCAGGGTTTGAGAGGCTGTCTTAAGGCAAGGGTGTGTGAGGTTATGGAAGTATAATATATTCCAGTTATGCCACATAGCCATGTGACGTGAAAAAAAGAGTTCACTTTTGTCTTAAAATTAGACACTTTCAGTAGGTAATCTCTTGTTTTATTCTAAATATCTTTACCAATGTGTGTCCCACTGCTGACTTCAGCCTGCGTTTTAATGCGTGGCATTTAGTGAGAAAATAAAACCATTACTATGTGTATAGTAGCAATTAATGGAAGAAAGACAAGTGTCTTTTACTAAAACCCATTCTTATAAAAAAAAGGAACTTGTCCCAGGACCTGGAATAAAAATTAAATTGATTTGCTTCTCCAGCACAAGTTGTCTTTCTGTACATACTGTATTATAGGGTTGTTATTTTGTACCAGATCAAATCAAAAACGTTGGAGCTTCCACATTCACAAAAAACAGACACTGACCCGCTCTACGTTGCCATAGAGACAGAAGATGTTGAAGACCCGGTCGGCGTTCATCTTGACGGGCTCCAGTCCGTACAGCATTACGACCGGGGACTCAGCGTGGCCCCCGTACTCCCCAGGAGGAGGGGGAGGGGGTCCGTAGTTTGGCCCGTAGTTGGGCCTCCCTCCACGCCCTCTCATTGGTGGACCCATGCGGCGACCCTCATAGGGCGGGGATCCGTAGCTCTCGTCGTAGCCATGGTAACCACCTCCTGAATAATGATGCAAGCAAATGAGAACAGAAAATCTACAAATCAAACAAGGCAAGTTCGACTCTAGAGAAGCGTTTTACTAGAGACAGAAGAGACACTAAGAGCCCCACTGATTTATTTCAAACATGTGTAACCTGAGAGCCTTACCGTACTCTGGAGGATGGTCGCCCAGCAACGCAGGCTGTCTCTGCCGCTTGTTGGGGTTTGCATTAACGTCATCTACGAGAAGAGAAAGAGAGAGTAAGGCAGAAAAATAAAAAGGCACATTGATAACAGACAAGCCAACTAGATGCCTAAACCTGCACTCATGCACCCCCCTCAAATAAGTACTTAAGACGAATGCATGCATTGCTGATTCATCTTGCAACCAGCAAAAGTATAAACCCCAGCTGAAAAAGCAGCCGACAGTATTTTAGTGATTGATCTTTGTCGGTATTAAATGGAAAGGGAGGCGTAGGGATGTACGAGATGTCACTGGTGTTGACACCTTATCCACAATGGAGCATACCAAGGGGAACAGGGGGAGATTGCAAACAAAGATATGGATAAGTTCCACAAATGATTACATTTAAAAGAACATATTTTGTACGCGTACACAAACACACACCTGCATTACTCCCATTGCCATCTGCATCACCATCTGTTCGGGTACACAATAATCATAGTCAGAATGGAAGCTGGGTTAATCAAAAAAGGTAACATTTTGTGGGTAAATGTGAATTCACCCCAGTTAAAATGTAAGGAGGGCACAGTAAAACCACTAAAGACAAAGCCGCCTCAGCTGCCCTCAGGACGCATTTCAGGATATAAAATACCGATAGTTTGGAAGAGCCCGGTTGATTACCTGCGGATGTCCCAGATTCTAAAAGCAATTTGGCAATTAAAATGTAAAAAAGCATGCAGATTTTGGACACCAGCAGCCACTGTGGCTGGTGGATGGAAAGCTATTCCTGCTTTTTGATAAACAGCGCATCCTGCATGAATTAATATTCAGCTCACACCTTCTGTCCTGATTAAACACATGATTTAATTCCCAAAGAAAGTCCAAGGAAGCCGGTATAGATGAGACAAGACTTTTAAACGGACAGTAGTGACAATAGTTTGAGGCTCCGACAGAACCCCGACCCACACCCTCTTCCACAAAGACAAAGGTTAAGTCTGCATGAGGGAGAAAGATGGAGTCATGTCAGTCTTGTGTGGCAATGTTGGGTGCTGGGCTTTGGGGTCATGTGGTGCTGTGCAGTGATGTTCCCTGAGGAGGGCCTTGATTTACTTACTGCATGCTTACAAACAGTAGGGAGGAAGATATTTGCTGCAGTAGCTCCACCACTCTCCACTCAATTCATTTCATCCAACACTCATCAATTTCCTTTCTTGGGGAACAACTCTCCACCTCAGGATCGAGTCCTGGTTCTATCAGGTTGAAAGGCCCATTGGTGGGTTGGTTGGCCGTTTCCATCCTTTTTGTCCCTTTTTGGTATAGTCCGCTTAGCGCCCACTGGGAGGCCTTGAGGCTGCCATAGAGCACATTTCAGTTGGGTAGCTGGCTCCTCTTAGCCGCAAATTGCCAAACCTGCATCACATGGAAGGTGTTACACAGCTTCTAAAGACTTTAAAATATCAATGAAAAAATTGCACTCAAAAAAGGGGATAGCTTAACAGGGATGCATGTAGTAAGAAAATCAGAGGAAAAGATGAAGAGATGAGGAAAAGAGCGAGAGGGAAAAGCTGAATTCCATGTGGGAGGAAACACATAAAACCAAAAGTGGGCCTGAGTGTGCTTGGTGGTGTTGTCAGCAGTGTCTTCATCAGTTGTCTTGTGTTGACTCCAATGGAGCTGTGAGCCATCTATTGGATCAGTTGGTTCGGCGTCAGCGAGTGTGTAGCTGGAGTGTTTTGTTTTCATGTCAACAAGCTTGACGGGTAACGCGGCCCAAAACAGTACAGGAAGGGGCTTGAGGCTTTTACAAATGTGATCTTGGTGGACTGGTGAGTATCAGTCTACATCAGTTGTTGTACTGAGATGTCTGTCTGTGTCTTCTCTGGTATCAGTCTCCGTTTGGTGTCGACAGTGGGGTGCTGGAGTTGTAGATGCGAGCTCTGGCCTGCTTCTATGTGTCTTTGTCTCAAAATGGGTACAAAGTAAGAAGGGGGAAAGGAACCGAGTGTAGCTCAGTGCCAAAAGCCCCGCTCTGTGTGCGCTGTCTTCATGGCTCTTGTGCTGGAATACGGAGATGAGGCATGAGTGGTAAATCAGTCCTACATCGGCATGTTGAATGGGTGGTGTCTTGTAGTTTGTCCCCTTGTATCTCGGGGGACATTTGGCCCTCTGTGTGATAGTGGCTGTGTCCTCACTGAAGAAGTGGATACTTGGTGGTGTTGGCAGAGTGGTGATGTTGTCAGCATGTATCTGCCTCTCTCTCCCTCTCCTGTGCATGTTTTTTGGACTTGCTGAGATCACAGGTTTATCAGGAGGTAAGTGTTACATGACGTCACAGATAGCCTGGTTACGGAAGTTGGACTGTTCTCCCTTATCACACAAACCACACCACAAAATGAGGCCACCTCAAACGCTATTTGGTCAGAGTCACTTTACATCAAACCTACGTTGGCTGGCTGAGGGGAGCTCTGACTATACATGTTAGACTTCAGTATGGTGTTTGTAAAAGTATAAAACACTGAAGGAAATGTAAGGGTTAGATGAGAGTGGAAAGGCCCGCAAACATTTTGGTTGGCGAATACATTTGTTTCTGGAAAATGCTGTTAAATACATGTTGCCTGAACTGCGGAATAATTGTAATGTTTTTTGTTTTAGTTCATTATAAGTTAATGCAACATGTTTAGGTGTGGTTAGGAAGCCAGGAACAAATGCTGGCTAAAGAAGGCTTTGCAGACAAGAGGGACGTGTCATGACCCAAATATGTACACAAGAATTTTTAAGAGGTCATAAACGGCTCACAATTCAGCAGTCCACACAACCTTACAAAAGGCTTCTTAGTCATTGTGTAAACTACAGAAAACTCACAAATCCTGGTTTAATCGCATTTAGCCTTTATATTGGCATTTCAACGAGTTTTACTCTAATAAAAAAATAAAAAAAGACGCCTAAGAAGTTAAGTTGACCCATGGATGTTTTTGGCTGATTTCAAACTCAACTTCCCCTTTAGTAATATCGTGTGCTTTTGATATGTCTGGCTAGGTTTGTTTATCCACCGCAGTTAACACTGATGCTGTGTTATTACCGGCAGTGGTTTCTATGAAGGCGGTTAAAAATGTTTTTATGACCAGGTAGAAATACTTACAGCTCAGATGTTTCAACTTACAGTCACCTTAACCTCAGCTGTCATGACATATTTATTATATTCAAATTCCAAGTAAATGAGAACTAGACTTGCTGAGGGCTAAAGCCAGCATATGTAAACCAGAACGACTACATGCCATGAGAACAAGAATGATAGCCTGAAGCTATACAGAGCAGCATACCATTTCCAGACAAGAAACTTAAATGTAAAATTTTTCTTTGTCAGCTAATTTGTTCCTGTTGATCCTGCCACACAACAGAGCTCAGACATTTTTTTAATCAACTTGAATTTATGGGTTTTCATCTCACATGTCTCTTCTGGTGCTAAAAAGATTTATGCTCACTGTTTTGACAGGATTTTCAACACGAATGTGTCTGGATTGTTATCTGTTATACAACTTATTATATTAGGACCCTTCTTCAAAATGTCTCACTGCATGAACCCTGAGCAGTGTGTTTTGAAAAGCGTTAAGAGTAAGACCCAAGTCAACACTTCAGTCATAATGCCAGCAGGTTCTTTACAAAGTAAATAGTATATTGGACACAATTTATATCTGTGTAGTAGCATTATGAATGAAGGGTGTTGCTGAAACTCCCAACAGTGGCAGCATTAGGCATCAGATACAAAGCATGTGGCTCAGCAGATGTTTGGTGGTGTGTTCAAGTGCTTTAGATTTTACCTGGGCCTCCCAGGTTGGGGTTAGTGTAGTCCCAGGTGTCTTGGTCATTCTTGAACACATTCAGTCGAGTGGGCTGAGGAAACACAATTTGTATGAATACAAGCATAATCATACATGAACTATAGTGATCCATACAGTATGATCATACTCTTCTACAAGTCAGGCTGCATAGAAAGGAGAAACTGCTGCGGTCCATCCAACACAGAACCATTTTGTAGTCAAGAAATAAACAATTTTATATGATAAGGCAGTGATTGGAAACTATGAGCTGAATTGTAAACGCATTGTAAAATGAAGTTATAGTCGTCATTACAAAAATGTAATGGGGTTATTGTTGGTCTGCATTACTGTGCAGAGTTATGTAAAAAAAAAAACAGTCTGGCTTTCTTTGCTTTAGCTGGCTCGACAGAACCTGAAAGCCTCAGATATAAAATAGCTACAGCTAAGATGGTCATCAATTACTGCTGTTTAGCTGGGTTTTCCGTCTCAAGCTCTCTAAGTTCTCATAAAAGGGGATGTTTCTTGCTTAATTTTACTCTTATACTGCACGGAATCCATTGATCACCGCCAACTTTCACTTTATATACGAACATTTGTAAGAACATTAAGGCAGGAGACAACCTGTGGCTGCAAATAAGAGAGGAATGAAGGCAGAAATGTACTAAGTGTGAGTTACTTAACCTGTTAAGCCCCGAGCCAGGTCTCAGGCTAGAAAATGACATGCCCAGAACAAATGACCATATCTTCACTTCTAAAAAGGGGTAAATTAATAATCTTTTTTCTCAAAGCAATGATAAACCTGTGAGTTGGATGTAGAAAAGTCAGAATCAATATAGATGTTTTTATTTTAAAGTAAATTCAGATTGAACATAGTAAAAAAATGTAAATGATAGTTTCCCTCCAAAAGAAAAACATTACTTATAGTGAAAACCACCCTTGAATGATGGGAAAGTAGACAAAAAGCTTTAGGAATCCAAACTATAACATATAAGTACCCTGTATCAAGATTGATGCAAAACAAGTGAAATTTGACACACAGCGTGCTCTGCAGTACACCCCTCTGTTGTTTACGTTGTTTGTCAATGAACAATGGCCATGCTTTGTGTTCTGCAGCGTACCTTGGCATACTCGATCTTCAGCGTGCAGCAGCCCGAGTAAATATCAGCTCCGTTGAGTGAAGCTTTGGCCCGCTGTGCACTTTGCACTGAGTCGAATGTAATGAAAGAGTTAAGGACAAGACAAGCAAGTACCAGCTTTGATGACAATTATAATACAGATTACTAAAAGCTACAACATCTAAGAATAAAATAACTACTAAGATTGTCAACACTATAGAAGTTTAAAATATATTTCACCAGTAGAAATGGTGGTATTCGTTGGACAAGTTCCTGTTATAAAGCCATGTATTCTGTTCATTTGTGTTAGAACTAGCAGGAAATACAGCCGTGCCAGCTTATTTCTTCTGTACATTTTTGGCAAACTGGTGGTCAAAAATCAGTTTGTGCCCCTGTCAGAAAGCACCAATCAAAAGGATATTCAACCATGGCCTGGACACCGTTCTTCCTGAAGATGACGATTCTCTGGACAGGCCCACAGTTGTTGCAGATGGTGTAGAGGACATCCTGTTAACAAGTAAAAGGTTAAAAAACTGATCCACAAACAAATGTGTTCTCCGTTCAACAGCCAAACTTAACAGAGGCATAAAGAAAAATTATACACCGACTTTGCTTTTAATAAAAAGGTTGCCAATATAGACTTTTATGACAATAGCTGATCCCTGTACAAGAACAGTACAGGGCTGCTGCTGGGGTTAACCAGGACTAACAAGACTTATGATGTATATACAAATCACTGCCAGCTGTGTATAAGCAAAACAAACAACAGAGTCTCCCTTTAACCTGTTGGAGGGAGTTAGCAGCCGTGATCGTGAGCAGTGTCGTGGACACATGTGCTTAAGAGTGCTGACATTTGAACAACAATAACCCCTGGCATGGCTTTTCTCCCCAAATGTAAAACATGTCACAAACTTGATGAAGCTCGACAATTCAAGCAAAACAGACAAGAAGAAGTCCAAAGATTTGCATTTACCGAGGTGATGGGGTAGATGGGGTTCATGATGGTGAGCAGAAGAACATTGTTAACACTTCTAGAGTCATCGGCATCTCCCGGCCTGGATATCTTCTGGCTGGTGGAGTAGTTGATGAAGGCTGGGTGGCCGGCGATGTAAACCTGGTTGTCTGCAGCATAGGTTACAGATGTGGATGCTCCATTCATGTCTTCGTACTCGACCAGTGCCTGCCGCTTCTTGGGCATCACCACAACATAGCTAAAATCAAAATAAATAAAAAAGTTGTTTCAATGCAATGTGAAATGTGTGATCTACTGGGCCACATGTGCAGCCATTTGCACAAGACCACTTGAAAGTTAATATCTTGCAGGTGAAAGGGTAGAGGTTTCCACCTAACTAAACCAACCGTGAGCCTGACTTTCAGCTTTGTAAAAAAATCCAGGTAACGACCTAAAAGGGAAGTATGCATTTCTTTGCACATGTATTCCACACACGAAGAATGTTCTCCTCCTCTACCTGATTGCTCCAAATTCTTGCAAGGCCTCCACAAGGTCGGCCTCTGTAACACCGTCGACAAGCCCCCGGACATGCACCACCACAGACGGAAGGGTCTTGTGTGGATCTTCGTATCCCTTAGGAAGAAATCAGAAAATTAGCATACGTGTTTCGTGGGAATATTTACACGTCTTATCAAGTGTTGGGCATGTGTGGGAGCCTTATGTAACAATGTTGTATTGAACTGTATTCTACCTTCAATTTAAATTGAAGGCCTATTTGCAGTTTTAATTTATTATAATCACAGCATAACTGTGAAGCAGTGGTTGGCAATTCAATTCTTACTCGCAAATATAGAATGAAATCATCTTTAGAAATGTTGCGGAGCAATGGCCATATAAAAGTAATTACATTTTTTTTTAAGGATTTATAGGTTAACCTTATTTTTACCTTTCTCCCCAGTGAGAACAATGCGTCTCAAAATTGTCTGATTTAGAATGTAAATGTTTTCTGATAAATTCAAGGTTAAAAGGGATTTTCTGAGCAGTACAAGTTAAAACAAGCCCAACCTAAACATCAGTAAATGCGACATACAAATGAATGCAGCATTACTATTCAAAAACATTATTTATAATAGTGTACACTGACATCGATCATTTAAAGGCAAAATTACTCATTTGACTTATGATACTTTACTTTGCTACATTTTGATGATTATAAGATTATGGTTTTGAATGGCGTGTGGTGCAGTGGATAGAGCCTTGGTCAGTCAGCATGTCGTTGTGTCCCTGGGCAAGACACTTTACCCCAAATTGCTCCTGTGGGGATTGCCCACAGTGTTGAGTATGTAAGTCGCTTTGGATAAAAGCGTCTAACAAGTAACATGTAATGAATGCTGCAATTTCAGTTGGAGGGGAGAATTTTCTACAGTAGGGTATTATAACCTTTAGTTAAGACGCAAGTAATTTTAAGGATCCACATACTTCCACTTATGAAAAGGGGCACACATCCAAAACTGTTACTGGATGCTACAGCTTAATCGTTGCATTTACCTTAAAACGACAAGCTACCTTAGGTTGCAGTTGGGGGAGGAGGCAGTTGACTTAATCTGCGTATATTATTTAATTTTTACGCCTTACTACAATGGAAAGACAAAGTGGGTGGGTAAAAAACATGCAGGCTTTTTTTTTAGAACACTACAATGTTACCCGACATGACCTAGCTGCTGCACCAATGCTGCATTGTATGATTACAATGTGTTGCTAGCTCACAGCTAGCACATGGCTAATCGTTACCGGTACTAGAACAAAGCCGTTCCCAGGCAAGGCCCTTCGAACCACCAACTCAGAAAACACAGCAAAGCTTTAAGCACGACTTGTGTTTCTGGATGTTTCTTTCTGAGCCACAAGCGTATACTATACATAATAAAGATGATACAACGGTGAATGCACGATACCCCTTCACAAAGACATATATTTAAATTGACCTGCGACGCATCATGATCTTTTTTTCTCCCAAACGCGCAATTCAACCACGAACACTGGGCAGCGTGTGTTCGATAAGCAAGGGAAACTAATTTCCACTACAGCTCACACACAACACAACTCACCGTGGCCATTCCGTCAGTTTTCTGTCGTTTTGTTGCCCTGCCGTCTTCGCTGTAGTAACGGCTCGCTGCAGTAGCCATGTTGTCCCGGTTAAAAAGGATGGTGGTAGTGACGATGAAATGAAATGGACGGAAAAGTCAAGAAAAGCAAGGCTCGTTTATCCACGCCCAGTACAGCGGCAACGCGGGCTGTGATTGGCCCGGGAAGCTGTCAATATATATGTTACTTCAGTGATAGCCAATAGAGAGGCGAAGTCCCTCTCTTTCCGGTGGACCTCCATGGGACCTTATTTCGGAAAGATTATGTATTGAAGTCAATGGCGAGAGAAAAGTTATCTTTCGATCCCGTTTGAATTGTGCCACGAATTACGCATATGATGTTTGTCAATTTAAAAAATAATTTTGCAGTAACATTTTAAAGTAAGACTTTTTTTGTGTGAAACCGCTCAATGAACTACATCTCTGGTCTCGCACGTCTCGCACATATGGCAAATCCGGATCCTTTTACGGACTCAGGGTCTTCTGAGTCAGTCATTGAAGAGATCCGGATCATACGAGTCATTTGAGTCATATGAGTCAGCATCACCAAGACCGTAGAAATCCTATCGGTGAAACCGAAAACGTGTTGCATTTCACGAGCATATTAAACTGACGTTATATTAACCTCCGCTACACAGTGTATTTTGCTTTAATAAAAAATGTTGATCACAAAAAAAAGGGTTATTTTCAGTAGCGTGGCGTGGGGAAAAATTTAGGGGAAGCCCATTTTTTTGAGTTGGGGGTGGTCAATAACGTAACCAGATGAGTGATTACAGCGCCCGGTATCATTTTACACACATTTGTATCACACAGATGCAGGACTTGCACACGCCTGTTATCTAACCGACAGGTCCGCACGCACTCTCCAGCCGAAACTCTCTCGTCTTATTAATTTAAGCATTTTCTTATTAATTTATGCAGACACACCCCCCCCCCCAAATGCAATACCAGCCGCTCAATGCGCAGTGCAGATTCGGTAATGAATAAAAAAAGAAGCATTCATTCACAAAGTAAATCAGGAGACCTTTAAAGTTTTACTTTCACATCAAAGTATCAGTAGGCGTGTATGAAACACATGAATTCAAAAACAATTATGTACAGAAACATTTGCATGCGATAGTCCACCTTCTCTTCCCTTCCCTTTCTAACACACGGCAAGTGCAGCAACAGTCCTCGTCTCTGTAATTAGCTCAGTCCGTAGTCCAAAAGTAATTAAAAAATATAAACAATCTCATCTATTCAGGTGAGGCCCTATATGGAATAAATAATGCTTCATTTGCTTGATCATTTCAAACGGCGGTGATGACAGTTACAGTAGGCTACTACAGTACGTAGTAAAACTGATGTTGATGTGATTTGATTGGATGGCAGTGTCCAATCAAATCGCCAGCCGCCTCTGAAGGGAAGCCAGAGGCGGCTGGCTTCCCTTGGCATGGCCCTGACCAATCACAGGTTGGCAGGGGCATCACGTGGGCCTCATCTGATTGGTCAATCCCTCAATTTTTTTCACCAAGGGAAGCCCGATTCGGCTGGCCTCCTCTCGCAACAGTGAATGCAATCTACTGTTTCACCATAACATCTAGAGGGGCGCTGTTTGTTTCACTCTTTGTAAAATACTCAATGAGAGTGGGGGAGAGACGGGCCGGCAGCAACACACAGCAAAGGAGAATTATCGAAACAAAACAAAGTGTTTTTATTTATTTATTTAAATTATAACTACAATCCAAAAAAACAGGGGAAGCCTGGCTTCCCTTGGCCTCCGGGAGAAAACGCCACTGGTTATTTTGCGATTTGGCAAAGCTGATTCTGCTGTTGACTCGTGCATGAGGACGAGTCTGCTGGATCTCTGGATCTGCTGCTATATGGTTACGGCTCTGAGTCCGCACGAGTCTGCTGTGTGTTGCACAGCGAGTCAGGATTTGCGAATCTGAGTCTGCTGTTGACTCGTGCATGACGACGAGTCTGCTGGATCTCTGGATCTGCTGCTATATGGTTACGGCTCTGAGTCCGCACGAGTCTGCTGTGTTTTGCACAGTGAGTCAGGATTTGAGAATCTGAGTCTGTGAAGTTCCGCTGACTAACTCGTAGGCTACTGGTCTCTCTCGATCATTGACCTGGATTCACGGATCCCGCTATTTTGATTAAGTCCATTATGTTTCCGGCTCTAAATGAAGTTTCAGTGTAGACTTCTAACAAAATTGTCATGTTGTGCAAACAGTCTCCTGCGTGTAATAGCTGCATTTCCAATAAGGATCTTACTTGGCAAAACGTTTATTTTGAACATAGCACACAAAAAGAAACAAACAATGACAAATGATAGAAAATTGCAAAACAGTTAGAACATATAAAATGTCTTAATTATACAATTATTATTATTAAACATATAATTATATCTAATCATATTCCCCCCATATTTTCTCATGGACTGCGTAATCATTACAATACTGGTGTTTGTATGTGTTAAATGTGTGTAAAGTGGTGTCTTTTGCTTTAATAAAACATATTGATCACAAAAAAAAGGGTCATTTTGCGATTTAGCGAATCTGAGTCTGCTGTTGAATCGTGCATGATGACGAGTCTGCTGGATCTCTGGATCTGCTGCTATACGGTTACGGCTCTGAGTCCGCACGAGTCTGCTATGTTTTGCACAGTGAGTCAGGATTTGCGAATCTCTGAGTCTGCTGTTGACTCGTGCATAATATAGCCGCGGGAGCCGGGAGCCGGAGGAGGGGCTATGCTCGTGCACATGACGAGTATGGATCTCTGGATCTGCTATGCTATTACGGTTAGGAGCCGTCGGCTCCTCTGAGTCCCCACGAGTCTGCAGGAAGTTTCACTGATCCGCGTCCCCTCCCCTGAGCCAAACGATCACTTCTGGCAGCTATCCTACTTGCTAAAGGGTAGATGGACTGGGGTACGTTGTAATGTGATTTTACATGTTATAAAGAGAGTAGCGAGTGACGCAATTTATAGTTTTAATTTGTACGTCACACCAAGTGTGGGACTCAAAGGACTCGGGTTAATGGAGAGGGGAGACTCGTCACGACCAGCTCATTTCTAGGATCCGGGTTAATGATCCGGATGAATCAGGACTCGCCCATCTCTACTCGCACAACAACACACGTCACCAAGATGGCCGTCACTACTGTCTTGCCAAACAAGGGATTGACTACCCTCACTATCACCACAATGAAACACGTCCAGAAGAATGTCATGCAAAGCTGCCTGCCTTCCTTCGATTCTCCCTGAACTGCCTGAACTGCCTGATCTTTTTAATGTTCAATGTTAACCATTTGTGCAGATAGCATAAAGTACAAAAGATCGGCGATCCTAATGTAGCTTTAGCATTTCTCCCCCGGGGGGCATCGGGGCTTAAACGGTGTATTATAGAATGATCACACCGGTGTGACAGTACTCTTCAAAGGGTTCACGAAATATGACTACTACTCTTACTGTTTAACATTTTGGGTTACTTAATGTTACTTTATGTTAAGGCTAATACAAATGACAAGGCTAAGGCTGTAATGCTAACTAACGTGCTCGCTACTAGCTAGGTAGCTAACTTGATCAAGCCACTCCTGGTCCATTCATCAGACGGGAAGCGAAAGAACGAGCAAGACCCATTGCTGGTATGATTACAACCTGGTAATAAGCACACAGGCATCTTGTTAAAGTTATTTTATCTCAGCTATCTCTTATATTTAGTGGAGGAAAACAATTATGACATCAGTTATGACATCACTTACGCGACTCCGGGATTTGTAGTCTTTCTAGTTGCGTATTTTTCATAGTCTTATTTCAACAGTTTTACGACAAACTGTGACTTTTTTGACATGGAAACGATTTTTTTAAGATCGACAAACATCATATGTGTAATTCATGGCACAATTCAAACGAGATCGAAAGATAATCTTTCTCTCCCCATTAGCCGCGTTCACACCAAGTACTTTGCCGTACTTAGTGCCCCGGCACTTATTACCCCAGGGCACTTAGTACAGATCGCGTTCACACCGGAATAAGTTCCCTGAGGGAAGATTACGCAAATGAGCCTCTGACGTCACTTCGTCTTCTTCTGCTTTGGGTTTACTGGCAGGCAGCAAACCACTTCACGGTGTATACTGCCACCTGAAGTCCCCGGTCGGAAGTCCCCGGAGTTGGGGACTGGCTTTAGTAGAAGCTGCTGGGACTCCCAGCAGCTTCTACTGAAGCCTTCTGAGTAAATCGCCAGAACGCCGACACCTCCTCATCACACACACACATGCGCCGGTGAAGATGGCCGCATCGTATTTGTGCTCCTCTCCAACTTTGCCCATTTTCGTATTTTGTACATATTTCTTTTACTTTTGCCGTTTTACTTTTAACATGGTTCGCAACATGCTAGCCGACCGCACCTACTCTGCCATACAATATAGCAGAGAGGAACTTTTCCAATTGCGAAACTTCGTGGACAATATTAACCCTCCGACAGACAATGGAGATTCACCATGGCTACCTGTTGCTGTTCTACCTGAGAGACGCAAGAAGAAGACAAAGCGGGGATGCCGGGCCGGGTTGCTGGTCAGACTGAGGAAACGTGAGAATCGGCCCCCTCTTCCGAGTATTCTTCTGGCTAATGTTCAATCCATTGAAAATAAGCTAGATGAACTCAGAAGCCGGATTGCTTTTCAACGGGACATTAAGAACTGTAACGTGTTAATTCTCACTGAGACTTGGCTCAACCCCGCTATCCCGGACTCCGCTATTGTCCCTGACGGATTCTCTATTTTTCGTCAGGACCGGACTGCTACCTCGGGGAAAAGTAAGGGAGGCGGTGTGTGTGTAATGACTAACAACAACTGGTGCTCAGATGTGAAGATTATTTCATCGGACTGTTCCGCACAGCTAGAGCACCTCATGATCTCATGTCGGGCCTTCCATCTGCCGAGGGAATTCACATCTGTTGTGATAACAGCAGTGTATATCCCGCCGCAGCCACTCGCCGACAACAACACGGCACTCGATCAGCTGTTTGGGTTTATTGATAAAACCGAGACTTCACGGCCAGATGCGGCGTTCGTTGTGGCCGGAGATTTCAACACCGCCAACATGAAGAAGGTTTTGCCAAAATATTACCAACACATCAACTTCC